CAATGACAGTGGCCACAAATATTTGTCTTTTTCCCTTAAAAATATTTGAAAATGTTATCCTCAAATAAAAGCGTCCATTCTTTTAAAAATTAAGAAACCCAAAGGTCATCACAAAAGCATATCGCAAGTTAAAATCAGGCAGGGTTTAGAATAAAACAAATCTATAAGAAACTTACAAAGTGTTATTATCATGTTTGCCAAGTTTGACTGCTTAACTAGAACTGACATTAGTGCAGCAGGGACACATCCACATGCTTTCTCTGGATTTCCAGAGATCACATCAGTTGAACGAACAGTCTGGAGGCACAGACAGAGCATAACGATCTGAGGAGAATGGCACTGCAAGGAGTTAACAGGGGATCTGGCCAAGGCTCAACACTCAGGGGAAGGAGGAGATGGATATACAATCAGACGGTTACTGGTGCCATTGGAATTGGAACTTTTCACTTGCTGCTGAAGATGGGGACGAAGCACTTATGAAAGTGTCCCGAGTGCTGTGATGTCGATTCCTAATTCAACACCAGTTGAATGAAAGTCACCCTCTTTATATTACATATAAATCTTCAGATGAACGCAGAAGTTTCTATAAAATATTAACTCATGTTCAGTGCATCTGCATGTAACAATATCACTACCAATTACTCACATCAACTGAGATATCGTATTACATTCACTTTATGGTTGTCTTACCTTCCTCCTGGTAGCAAATGTGATAGCCATGAATTGGTGATTTCCCTTCACCTTGGTTGGTCCAAGTTAAATACACTGTCTTCAGCTTGTAGGTGACTACTGGTTGTAGGGGAGCCTCTGGGGATCCTATGAACAATCAAAATTTACAATATGTTCAAATAAAAGTTTATTTCAGTTTAGCTGTACATACCATAACAAAAAAAATATTTCTCTCTCTCTCTCTCTCTTCCCTCGTTTTGCGCTCTCTATCTTTTTTTCCCCACTCCTCACCAATTTAACTCCTTATCTCCCTCAATCACATATAAATCTAAAATGCTTATATGCTTCAGAGTGGGCACTAAATAATTCTGTTCTGTACAGCCACCAGATCACTCCTATTCACTTATCCCCTATTCCATTTTCTCAGCTTTAAATTGCTGTTCTTGGTTAGAATTGAGAATACTGTTAATATTTACTTATTATTCATATTTAGGTAAATGATCAAATCTTCTTGTGTGGCTTCCAAAGCCACGTTTAGAGAAAAGGGAAGAGGGGTAGCAGATCCAACAATCATGAGATAAAAGATTCCCCATGTGGGGGAAACAAGAATAAACCCACTGCCTACCCAAAAGATTAAACTAATTGGGAGCTTCCTTCAACGTCAGAGTACATCTGCCTATGAGGCAAGGAACCAACAGTCTGCATGCAAATGAGTCAGACCTGTGAAATGGATGTGCACGCAAAACTCAGTTTCTGGAAAAGGGCTAGGGTCTAGAAATGGATGAAGAACCAGAACTTTCTGCCGGAGTTTACAGCTGGTGAATGTTAAGAAGAAGATGACTAATTAGGGGTCTTCTGAAATTGGATGAACTGAGCTGAAAGATGTGATATTGCAGCTTAGCAGTAAACTACAGCACAATGTGTCAACTGTCTGTTGAGGACTAAAGCAATAGAAAGCCAGTTATTAATAATAAAAGTTTACTTTCATTTAGTATGTGCTTATTTATCTAAACATGTTCCTGCAGTAGTTTTTGTTTCTTAACATTTCCTAACCAATATATCTAGCTTTTTGTGTTTTATTTGTCTGCATGAAAGCAATGATCTTACAGGATTCAAATGTGGGTCTCCCGCTTGAGAGCCCAGCATTCGAACTGTTTGGCCAGCCGCTCCTCACCAGATGTATAAATAATGGTGACAAATAAAAGAATAACATATCAATAACCTATAAATGACAAAATACCTGGCTGAGGTCCTGTAACTATACTGGTTTCAGCCACAGCCCCTTTGCCAATACTGTTTATGGCTGCCAATGTAAAAGTATAGCGCTGGTTTTCTAACAGATCACTGATATACTGTTGTCTTTCATCTCCTGGCAGCATGCGAGTGGAAACATCTGTTTTCTCTGTGGAAAAAAATAAACTATAAAGTATGTTGTCTTTAATTTATCCTTCTATTTAGCTGAGAAAAAAGTCACAAAAGGAAAGTTTATGAAGTGAAATAATATAATGAGCAAATAGTAAGACATATTCTTCTTCTTGCACCACTTGGTGGTGAATTGATGTATGACAAGCTAGATATTGTGAGGGCCCTTTGGGAACGAGTGAACAGTGCAGATGCACAGATAGATCATTACATTCTGAGGAGAATGGCGCTGCGAGGAGTTACCCGGGGATGTGGCCAACCCTCAACACTCAGCGGAAAGTTTAGACGGATTTACAATCAGACAGCTACTGGTGCCATCGTAAGTGGAACTTTTTGCTTGGCTGCTGAAGATGGGGATGGAGCACTTATGGGATGTCCTGTGTGCTGTGGTGTCAATTCTTAATTCAACATTCAACATTTTTGTTCTTCTTCTGAGTGTTCACAGGCTGTAAATTTCACAGAGAGTTTTAGTTATTCAACCACTTCTGGACTTTGGTCCTCTTCAAGATACTGAGTTTTGCATGTACATCTGTTTCACAGATCTGCCTTGTTTGCATGCAGACTGTTGTTTCCTTGTGTCTCAGACAGAAGCAGTCAGACTTCAGGGACTATATGCCTGATTAATATGCGTGTTAGGGGGTTAGTGGGTCTATTGGGGTGGGGTGGGGTGGGGGGCTTAAAATGCAGCCCTGGAACTCAAATGGGGAAGAAGACATATGAGAGTTGATATCTAATAGTATGATACCTGTGAAACATCAAAGATATTATGTGACAGTTAACATCTAACAAGTCCTGTTAACAATAACATGTTCTCAACAGCATTCAAAGCCACCATTAAAGCAGGTTACAGAATCTACATAGATTACCCTGATGGATCTATTGAAGAGATATTTGATGCATGCAGGGAATTCTGCTCAAATTATGAAGCTGAAATAATCGCACTGGAAACAGCAGTATACCACCTAAAGACTGTAAGGAAGTTTATCCTTCAAAGGCCCAAAATATTGTCATCTTCACTGATTCAATGTCTGCTCTTCAAGCTCTGGAGGGCAGTGAACGCTGCAGAACTGACATAGCTAAGATAATTCTAGATGCTGATCAGTTCATTACCTCATACAACATTAGAATAGTGATGCAGTGGATTCCAGGCCATTCCGGCACACCAGGTAATGACAGAGCTGACTGACTGGCAAAGAAAGGAGCAACATAAGAACAACCACCTACAGCGACAACCCTAGAGACAGCAAAAACACTTATAAAAGCTATAAACAAAGAGACTTGGCTGAACAGATGGGCCATGGGAGATACTGGAAGAGAGGTTTATAGACACATGGCTAGCCCTGATCCTAATGACAGCATTAACCATTTAACAAGAAGGTATCAGGCCACCATCTTCAGACTCAGAACACAACAACTCCACTCATAGGACACCTAAACAGAATACAGCCACAACACTTCCAGAGTGCCAGCTATGTAACTACCTCTATGAAACTGTTGACCATCATATCTTTGAGTGCCCAAAACTCAACCAGACTAGAAGAATGCTACTCCCTTCAAGAAGAGACAAGTGGAACACCTTGTACGTAGGAAAACATGTAAATTCCACTACATGGCATTGGGCCAAAGGGCAAAAGCTCATGCGCCGCTGGATCAATAACAACAACAACAACAGTTAATATCTATTGGTATGTCACTCGAACAGGTATAGAGGTATGACAGTCAGCACCTAAAAGTATGGTACCTATTACCCATTAGAGGTAATCAGAGACAATGTGGTCATAAGCTTGTAACATTGAGGCTGGATTAATGGTGTACATGTCATTTTGACATTTTTTACAGCTAAGAATCATCACAATTGTTAAGCAAACTCAAGACTACCACAAAATTTATCAGCATTTCAGCTAATGAAAATTCTATATGAAAATTAAAATAATGAATTTACAGACAGCAAGGGATGAATATGAGTAATCTTTGACTTCTGTCATTATCTTCTTCTTTATCATCAGCATTCTGAGCCCTTCAGATTCACTGCTGAATCCACCTCCATTCATCTCTGTGACTGGCATTCTCTTTCCAGTTTGTGGCCACAAGTATTTATAAGTCTGCCAGTATACTATCTTTCCACTGCCTTCTTGGTCTACCTCACAGTCTACTCTCATTCCAACTTCTGTGTATGCAGTTTCTGTCTCTCTGTTATCTGCAATTTTCTCAATTTGCCCCAGCTATTGCAGTCTATAAGCTCTCTCGATGCCAGTAATTAGTGGTGATTTGACTTCTATACTTATACAAAATGCTTAATCATTATTTGCAAGACCTTCTATTAGGGCAACTACAGATTGGACAGTTTTTGTCAAAGCATCCATGTGGCTGCCCTACTGGTCTGATAACAATGTTAGCATTTTTGTGAATAAAGATATCTTTGGAAACAGTAAAAGTAAAGGACAGGACCCTTTTCCACCCCTTTAGGCGCATAGGGCATATAGGGCTAGACCTTTATTTTTATAGACCAATCGGCACAAGATGGGTGATGTGGTCATTATCACGCCGGCCGCCTTTACTTTCCGGGACTGCCTCTGGTACCCATTCAAGGCTTGGTCAACCTGGGAAGCCGAGGTCATTTTTGAAAAAAAAAGTCAGGCTCCGCCAAGGAGCAAACCCACGACCTTCTGATCTGAGTGTTTCCAAAAGTCACCAGGGCAACTTTTGGAAACAGTACTAAACTATAATTGCTACCGCTGATGGACCAAACTACAAAAAGTGCACAGGTGTCATGCTGAAGTGTGTATCCATTTGGTGGACTCTATTCTCGGTACTTCTGGGGCTCTGCTAATTGCACTGTTGAGTTAAAACCGATGGCACTTTTTAAAAACCTGACATGAAAATAAACTAAGAACACATAAAGCTCTCACCATTATCAACGGATGTGAAATACTGTAACTGGTAATGAGTAATGTTTCCATTAGGTGTGCGAGGTGCATCCCAGACTATGGTCATTTCCCGCAGGGTGATGTTGAGAAATCTGACATTCATTGGAGCACTTGGTACTGGAATGTAAACATATTATCTCATGAAATACAGGTAAAAATAAAAAGGAGATGTGAATGACCTAAGGAGACATGAAGACAGACAGCAGAAAGTAAATGAACAAGTTTAAAACTGACATCGGATACTAGGGGTAGAAAATAGGCAGACTGACAGCAAGGGAGATGACCTGTGAACGTCTTATGGGTCAATAGTGGCATTGTTTGTTTGTTTTAGTATCCAGAAGCCATGAGTTGTTAACTCATAAAAGGCCTTCCCCACATGTAACGTGTATTCAGTAATGATAATATCCTCATGTTTAAAAAGCAAGCATTTCACAAATTCTCGCTAATGATGTTTATGAATGAATGGATGACGATGATGAGGGGTAGTATTATGTTTACTGTAGTTTTCTGCTACCAGGCTGAACCTGAAAAATAAAGTGTAACATAAAGAATGTACATTTAAGACCAAATACATATCATTGCCACCTAATCTTTGATATGTAGTTTATTGGCCAGAAACATTTCAATAATGTATATGCCATGATGTCCTGACCTGTAATTCTGTCAACAAACATCTGCTGGAATTTTAAAAGAAAGGGCTGAATTAGAAATATTTATCCTGACTATCAATTATGCACATAAATTAATTTAAATTTTCTGGGGCCCCATTTGGGAGATGGGGAGAAGAACAATTGTGTCCTCATTATTATTTTTATTTGTCTTAAGCATTCTAAGCCAAACACAAAAATTAAGCTTAAAAAAAAGAAAGAGTTAAATGAGAGTAGACACTAAGGCAGACCAACAAGTCTGGTGAATGCTCAGAATGCTGAAGAAGAAGAAAGAAGAGAGAAAAAAGAAAGAAAGAAAGAAAGAAAGAAAGAAAGAAAGAAAGAAAGAAAGAAAGAAAGAAAGAAAGAAAGAAAGAAAGAAAGAAAGAAAGAAAGAAAGAAAGAAAGAAAGAAAGAAAGAAAGAAAGAAAGAAAGAAAGAAACAGCAGAAGATGATTCTACACAAGTGCTTACAAAGAAAACTTACAATCTTCGGATGTTTGCATGGGAATAGGCTTGCTCTGTGGGCCTTCACCTGCAATATTCAGAGCCTGGACAGTACTACAGTAAATCGTATAGGGTTTCAAGTTTCTCAAGACAATGCTCGTCTCTCTGACATAGTAAAGTGTTGTAGCTGAAGGTTCACATTTTGAAGAGGCTGACTGCCAGTAATGGATCTGCAATGAAGCGAGCATTTGCTTTTTTTAAGTCACTGTTTATAATTACCTAATACTTTGTATATTTTAGTACACATATATAGTATATATAATATATAGTACACAGTACATATATAGTCATAAATATACTGTATTTAGTACATTTATAGTATATAGTAACTAAAATATAGTATATCAAGTACACAACATTTCCATTTTTTTCAATGATATATTTGTAAGGTGCGTTTTTATATATATATATATATACGCACCTTACAAATATCTCATTGAAAAAAATGTGTAGGTGCATATATATATATATATATGCACCTACACACACGCACACATGCACACACACATGATCTCCCTCCCTCTCTCTCTCTCCCTCTCTCTCTCTCTCTCTCTCTCTCTCTCTCTCTCTCTCTCTCTCTCTCTCTCTCTCTCTCTCTCTCTCTCTCTCTCTCTCTCTCTCTCTCTCTCTCTAATACTGTTTCCCTGAAAATAATGCTAGGTCTAATATTTAAAAAAATTATTAAGATTTTTCAGGGGATGTCATTTTTTTTCAGATACAAAAATCTACATTGATTCAAGTACACAATTCTATACTTATTCAAATACAGTCATGTCATTTTCTTCTGGAAGGTCATCATAATTCTCCAAATCCCAAATTCTGGCCTGAATTTCTTGGGACTACATTTCCTTTAAAATCACTGGCCCTAATCTCTCATGTAGTGCATTGGTAAAACAGCTGTCAGTGGTTTTATTCTATGAATTCTTCACCAAAGTCAAGACCTTCTGTAAACTAGCTAGGTTTTAAGAAAGTTTATTATCTGATTTCTCTCCATTCATTTTTCTTATATAGTCATAGTCATTGATTTCTATGTGCAAAGGGTCCTTGAATGGTTTGTTTGTGGCAATATAATCTGGAGATAAGTCATTTTTGGGGGGAAAATATTTGGGGGAAACATTATCTGATCTATTCTTCCCTCTGCAAGGAAGTTCTTCATGTCTTTAGTGCAGTAAATTCTGATTCAGTCCCAGACTAGCAAACCTCTCTGATCACCTCGCAAAACAAGAAGCAGCATTAAACTGACTCCCTTATAAACTGCTAGTATGAACCAGGCTTTGGTTTCAAGAACAAAATTGCCTGAAACACATTAAATCCTATTTTTCTGGCCCTAAGTGATGACTAGAAGTGGGGCTTTCCTGACATCCAGATAAACTGCCAAATTACAGGTAAAACATGCACTTTCCTAACCAGTGGATGAAATGTAGATTTATGAGGTCCCAATTCTGATTAATTGTTGATTTAGATTCTAGGCTCATAAACAATGCAGTTTTATCCATAGCAATCATGTTGGAGAGTTAGTATTTAGAAAACTTGATGCCAGCAACAAAGTACTTGAATGCAAGCGCAGTTTAATAACTTCAGTATCTTCCAGCTTGAACAGTGTTGTTGATCTTCTAGGAGACAGTTTATATCACTGAAGACTCAAAGTGATAAGAACCCTACACAAGTCTGAAACTTGCTTGGACACTCTGACCCACTCCTCTCCTCGCATAAATTTATCGAGCCTGCACACATGTCCAATTGTGTCTTCAGCTTGTGTCATCCAACACCTTCCTCTTTTCAGTCTTTGACCCTTAGCTCTACCCACATCTTCATGGAGGAGGTGCTTCTTGTCTGCAGCTACTCTGAGAGATGACTTTGCTTGCAGAACTTTGAGCGTATCAGCAATAGTAGGCAGTGGAAGTAAATATTATTTTCAGAGAAACACAGTAGTGGTGACTAACACCATCACAGATTGTTTTATTAGGGCTAGGGCATCTTCACACCCTCATTTCATTTAAATATAAAAAAGAATACATTACCTGTTTTGTATTCAGTTCTTCTCGACCCAGCCACACTTTACTACAGGTTACTTCACAAATATTTTGTGATGGCCTAACATAACTGTGCTATATAGCTACGTGGTGAATGAGATAGTAATTTAGTGTGCATATACTATCTCCCTTTACAGACCGGGTAATTCACTGTTACATAATGCAAACAATAAAATATGACAATTACATTATATCCTGTCAGTTTGCCATTTGTACTATCATCAGGCGGAGGTTTCCATGTTATCTCAAGTTCTGTAGAACTCTTGTTTGTGACCTTAACATCTGAAGGTGGATCAAATGGAGCTGAGGACAAGAAAGATGCACAGTAGAAAAAACATAAAATTTATGTTGCAAATCATTTCTTCACATCTGCTAATAATGTAACACACCGGAACCTACCAATCAAATACCTTTCTTAAATGTTTGTGTATTCTAGACAAAGCAATAAGGTCTTACTGTGTTCGTAAATTGTTGCTGTGATTGTTATTCGACATTTGCTTCGCTAATTAATATAAATTTCTATAACCTATGGTGCCATTTTCAATGGGTTGAAATGAATTCTGTCCGTATTCCATAGTTGTGGATTTCAAGCTGCACGATAGGCATGGCCAATAAGACACCTTTTTTGGGGGGTGCCTAGTTGACCATGTTTCTTAGTGCACTTGTATTCATGGCGAGGCGCAGACGCCGTCTAGAGGTGACAGGTTCAATTCCCGGCACAGTAACTATAGCTTTCGATTTTTATGTTGTCTAGTGTGTTCTTTTATCTTTCTATGAGTGCCGATCAATACACTTAATGTTACTCAATTAATTCATAATAATGTAGTTTGGTTATAATTATTTTAAAAATATTACAAGTAATTAGATTATTATTTGCAACAACTTTAAGTCTATACTCAATAGAGTTTAAAATACAAATAAATTATCTTTTTTTCACACAGAAAACAATTTACTTGAAATCTAAAACAATTTTGTTGACTAGTGAAAATAAAAACTTGTCATTCTGTTTTCAGAGAATTAACCATTTATATTTTATGAATGTCCATATTTTTTATTTACAAACACACACACACAAGATACAAAAAAGAATAGTAGGAACATTTAACACAAACATGACACTACAGGAAGAAGAATTAAAAATTTATATAAGAAATGTACAAATTAGAATTAACTAGAATTAAAACAAAGTCCATAATTTTCAGTGTGCTGAAATAACGCTAGTTTGAAAACAGTTTCCCTCCATCATTTTCTGTATGGCAAATTAGGATTTTTAAAAGTTAAGTAGTTTCCCCCCAGAAAAGATAATTGATATATTTTACTTTGGTTTCAATTTTGCAACTGTAAGCTAAAAAAAAAAAACCATTAATTAAGCAAAACATGTATACCAGTGTTGATATTCATTAGAGAATCTTTATCAATATTACACCCCCCCCCCCATCCTTTGAAGTACAATATAAAATGTCAGTATTTTTTTTCCTAGTGACCCATGGTATTCTTTAAATTTTTCTACAATAATTAAGTCCTCAAGTTTTATTCTTTAGTGTTTGTGAAATGTACCAATATTAAGTGCAAAATATGATCCATAATTCACGTCCATATTATAAATAGGACAAAATAAAAAGTTAAGTCGAGAAGAGCTTTTATCCTTCATGGGTTGGTCTCTCCGTTGAATCTGAGAGTGGCGCACAAAGCATGGACACTGTTGCTCTAGTGTAAATTTACATAAAAATTGCACTCGAACAGTGCAACCTATGATCTTTAGAACATGAAGTAAATGGCTTCAATTCTACCACGAAGACCCCTGTGATCTAACAATAATAATAATGTTTAAAAAAAAAAATTTTTTTACTATTTAAGGAAGGAAGTAAAATAACTGTAAAAATCCAAAATGGGGAAGAAATAAATTTATTTTTTAAAATGAAGAAATATAATAGTAACATATCAAAATGGTGAAGAAAAAGAAATATGTTTTAATTACGGAGCAACATATTTAGAAGAAATCATAGAGAGGAAGAAGAAGAAATAGATTTACTTTACATCATTATTAAAAAGATGTACAGACACAGCAAAAAATACAACATTTATCAAATCACGCACAATATGAAACAGTAAAAGTGAAACACACTATGACTGTCTAAAAGACATAAATAAACAGACTAAAAATACATTACCTGAAATAATTAGCTTATTAAATATCCTAATTATAACCCCAGAAGAGTTAAACTGGATATTATTTATTCAAGCACTCACAAAACGCACAAAAGTGTACTGTTCATAACAACATCTAGTAATTTATCAGTTTTCAAAGTGTTTATTAGCGGCCAGAAAATGAATTTAAAAGAAAAAATTAAGACAGATGGGAAATACTGAAGTTACTTGTTAAAATTATGCTGGGTTTTAACTCTTTAAGTATCGGACAGTTGTCAAATTACCTAATTGATTCTGTAGTTTTTGTTACCTACAGCAATAAATCTTTAAATCTAGATCAGAAAGAAAAAACTATGGATCAAACGGAATAAAGGTACGGTTTGCGAAAGTAAATATTATTGTAAACGTTGCAGGTAGAAGAAATGGTATAGAAAAGCATTTCATATAAAGAGAAACCAGTAACACGTGGTGCATTAATTGATACTGAAAGAATTAAAGATACTTAGTTACTTGGCATTGCATCAATAATAGATACTATATTAGAGTGTATAAATGTATATATATATATATATATATATTCATACTCCTAAAAATACATCAGTAAAAACTTCAAGCTATATTAAAATCAATACTAATAATAATAAGTAGTTTTATGTTATGGACGAAAGACACTGGTTTTGTTCTTTTGAATTAAAAAGGGATAAATTATGTAACCAATATAGAAATTTTTAATAAAAATTTATGTTGGAGTTATCAAATTGTTCTCAACGTAAATATAAGGAAACTAAATTTACTTACATCACAGGTGTCTAATACATCGCTTAAAAGTCTAACTAACACTGACGACACAAAGGTATAGAGTATCACTACAGAATCACAATAATCAAATATCTAAATATGACAAGAGGCAAACATTTTTAGACCACTATTGCTAAAGTGTGCTGATAGTAAACAGTGATACCATTGACACAAAAGTCTTATATTTATGTTTTATAATTTGTAATAGGCAGTTCCCAACTCAAAATACAATATTATTCCCTATTACTAGCCACAAAAATATACAGTGGATTCGTATTAGTCAATGTTTAACATTTATTTTCAGTTATTTTAATAGTCTTACAGTGTATTGATTAAAAATAATATTTGTCGCCTTCTACTTTCTATTTATTTTATTCCTTTTTGTGTCAATTAATAGTTTTTGCTTTTCTCTTCATTCCTGAATAACTGTGCATTTCTGCCTGTCTGCACCTGTGCAGTGCTTAAGAGGTCCAGACATGATTCAATCAATCAATTATCACCACACTTAGAGGCATTAGGCAGAGACAAACTGTTGCCACTCAATTGGATCCTGAGCTATCCTTCCTATCTCCAGTTTTGTTCTTCGCATAGCCTTGAGTTCAGACTCAAAGGTTCACCTCCATGTGCCTCTGAGCCTAACTCTGCCTGGCTGTCCTTGTGGTGTCCATTGTATTGCCTGTCTTGGCCGTCCTTCTTTCTCCTTTCTGAGGACGTGTTCAATCCACCTCCATCTTCATTTTTTTATTTCTAAATTTACATCTTCTAATCTGTCATTTGTTGTAATCTAGAGTTGCTGATTTTATCTTCCCATGTGAAGCCAAACAATCTTCTGAGAAGTCTTCTCTCAAAACCTCTGAGCAAGCTCTCTATCTTTATTTCTGTTTTGCCAAGTTTCTGCTCCATAGAGGAGAACTGTCATAACGCATGTTTTGTATATTCTGAGTTAACTTTTGGTGCCGTAGATGTTTGATCTCCAGACACTGAAGTCTGTTGTAAGCAACATTTGCCTTTGCAATTCTCTGCTTGATTTCAACCACTAAATTCCATCCAAGGAGATATTGCTTCCCAGGTAAGTAAAGTCAGTTACTACTTCCAAACCTACATTATCTATTACTTTAAGTCCTTCACTTTTGGAGTTTACCTCCAGCAGTTTTGTTTTACTGACACTGATTCATTAATCTTGTCTGTTTTGCTATGTCTGTTACTTATCTATTTTTTTTTTTTTTTTTTTTTGCAGATGTTCTTTACTTTGGCTGATGACACAGATATCATCTGCAAAGTCCAAATGTTTCAGGTGTTCGAGAAGGTTCCACTGAAGGTCCATTCGTGTGCCTGTGGTTGCTTTCTTCGAAATATAATCTATCATTAAGAGAAACAAGAAAAGTTACAGAATGCACCCTTGTCGGACTCATGATGTTACCCTGAGGTATTCTGTTTCCGTGAATCCTACTTTCACTTTGCATTGGCATCCTTCGTAGAGTCCTTTAAATATGTTTATAACTTTATCTGGTAACCCATACGCAGCAAGGATCCTCCACATCATTGTTCTATCTAAACTGCCAAAGACCTTTTCAAAGTCTATAAAATGTATATATAATGTGGTACTCCATTCTAAAGCTTGTCCCACAATACTTCTGAGAGTAAAAATATGATCACAGCAGTTTCTTCCTTTTGTGAATCCTGCCTAATCTTCTGACAAATCTCTTGTCTAGTGACATCTTTTTTCTGTTGTATATCACCCTACAGAGTGCTTTTCCGGGTACAGACAATAATGTTATGCCTCTCCAGTTATTGCAGTGTGAGAGATCACCTTTCTTCGGCAGTGGGATGATTACACCATTTTTCCAGTCTGTTGAGACCACTTCATTTATCCATATTTTGTTGAATATTCCATGTAATGCTTTTTCTGTAAATGGTGGGTCTGCCTTTAACATGTCAGCACTAATTCAGTCTTCACCTAAGGCCTTCCCATTCTTTATACTGCTTATTGCCATTTCTACTTCTTAAATGCTGATTGGCCACATCCATTTCTAGGAGTTGACCACAGATATTCTTCTTCTTCTTCTTCTTCTTGTTCACCGGCTGTGAATTCCGGCGGTAAGTCACGGTTGTTCGTCCAAATGGACTTTTGGCTTTTACCTTGACCTGAGTTTTGCGTGTACAGACCACAGATATGATGATATTTACTTTTAGTAAAAATAGCATTTGGAGAGGGGTTTTTTTTAACTGTGGGGGGATTTTTTTTTTTTTTAAATTAAATTCATGGAGACATCAGAATCTTATTTCTAACTTATAAACTGGGGTCAAGAGGTCACTATATGAATTACCATTTTAATAAATGTGTTTAGGACCAAGCGGCTATAGTCATTTAATTCTCTGCTTCATTCTTGCTTACTAATTACTCCCCTATATTTATTTCTAAAATTAAAAGAATAATTTAAACAAACCAAAAAAAAAAAAGTTTTTTGTTGTATATAAGATTTTTTTAAACCCATTTATTTGTGACCTTTTTTTTTTGAGTATATTTTTGTGTAGGTAGGGATTTCAGGGTTATGGGTTTTTCTCTAAAGATGTCTGCAGAGAAATGGTAAATGTATGCAGATGTGAACAAAGATTAAACACAACTTCCTAGTAGCCACAACATAATATGGCCACATGTAAACAAACAATAATAAAGTAACACAGGATTTCTTTTCCCAAAGGGATAGGAAAGAGACAATTTTTCATCTTCTAAATGCAAAAAACATCCTTTTAAAGGCCTTTAAAAAAAGGGGGGGGGGGAGTGTCATGGCTTGCCATTTCACACGATCACCAGAATCGCAGATCAGGTAGGGATTCTTGTACCGCTTAAGCATATGAAGAAGTCGTCTGAGTATTTATTCTCTTGCTCTTTTCCCATCAAGTCTGCCAGTTGTCACCAAGTTTTGAGTTTAGTCTTTCTCATAACATGTCCACAATATAAATTATGCATCCAACTTAAATCGTAATAACTGTACAAGACTACACATCTGGAACATTGCTGAGTTATTGAATGTAACTTGATTCTATTTTTTTACATTCCAACAATGTTATCACTGTACTATTTATGAAAAGTGAAAAGGTTAGAAAGTCAAACATATCTTACCAACATCGCCCACTAGAAAAACTTGAAGAATACTTGGTGGTCCCCGGCCGGCCTCATTAGCGGTAAGAACTTGAATTTCATACCTCTCACCCATTGTCAACTCTTGCAGGGTAGCAGTGAACTGACCATAAGAAACTGTACTTTCCCTGAAAGCTTCTGTTCCTTCTTCTCGATACTGAACAATGTCATTGATAGGACGTCCATTCCATGTTGACTCAGGTGGAGGCTGGATTAGAGTGTGTCTTTATTAAGTTTTACTGCGATAATTACCTTGTACTTTATTTTGGGTGGCACCCTTACATCATGATATTGAAAAATAAATCCCATTTTCAAGCCTTTAGCCATAATTGACATATGGTGCTAAGCCCATGTTTTTGAAGATCAGCTGGGGCTCAACAGGTAATGTCAATAGCATGTCAACTGCTTTTACTTCCCAAAGCATTTCCTGGTACCCATTTAAGGTCTGAATGACCTGGGAGCCAAGAACATCCACCCTGATAGAATGAGAATGAGAACCCATAACAGCTGGGCTATCGGGCAAGTGTGCTAGCCACTGCACCATGGCTCCAGTAATGGTACATAATAACATGCTAGTACAGTATTACAGAAAAAGTACATTTTCAGATGATTTGTCGCTTGAATTTGGCCAGGTTTGTCTACATATGTATCAATAATTATTATTGTTATTACAGCCTCCTAAGTCTATATCAGTTTTTAAGACAATCTAATAACTTTTAGGATAACTTAAACACGCCTCTTTCTATAAAATCCATGTGTATATTACATCATAAAGTTATGTTTTTTAAAAAATGACACTGCTTACTGTGTCAGCATACTTACGTACAACACATAATTAACATGTGACTATAAGCAGTGGGAAAATATATCTATAGAAGCACACAGCTCACTATCTTTATACAATGAGTGTAAAAATAAATAAATAAATAATTAGAAAGGGAAGTCACTTTAGTAAATGAGAAATTAATATTTAAGAAACATCAATTAGGAACTTAATCACAACTATCTTTTCTTTTTCTGTGTTCTTCCCCCAAAGAAGCATAGATTCTCAACCAGCTAAGACCTCCTTATCATCTTCTGCAGCATCCTACATGTCCTCCACACATTATGCATGAATTCAACCCCATCAGGACATCCACCAAGGGATAAACACCCGGTGACACAAAGTGCTACCATGAGGATGAGGATCACTCCTGGAGAGCTCTCAGAAACCCCATTCAACCATTAGGTTATATCAGGACCCCCAGTAACAGCCAGGGTGGGGCTTTAAAATCATGAAAACTTGTTCCCCAAACTGAGATGGTTAATACAACTAATTCCCACACATTTTTTTTTTTTAAACATTTGCTGCATACTCTTTACACGACGTTGCAGAAACAACCCATGCATTTTTGACTGTTTGTGATTTCTGTAGGCAAGTTTACATTCAGCAGAAAACAATGGTAAACTACTGAATGTAAACTTGCCCAGAAGAACCAAATAGCCACACAAACACACACAAAATTGGGGCTGGTTCTGCAGTGACTTATAAAAAGATAAACAACTAACTGACACAAATTTTTTCCCATCATTTTTATGATGGAATTTTTCGTTATTTGAAGCCCTACACTGGCTCTTGCCATTGCCGCAATATAGCCTGGCCATAAATATGGCCTAAAGGCTGAACGAGGTTTCTGGGACCTCTCCACGGTGATCCTCACCCACATGGTGGCACATTGTGTCATCAGGTGTTTAATTATCGCTTGTGTGATGTCCTGGTGGGGTAGAAAGTCAGTCAGTCAGTCAGTCACTGACACATTTATACACTGCCACTCTCATTTCAGCCTCCTCACACCACTGTGTATTGGCTTTCCTTCATAATATATGAATCCACAGTTGTGACAATTAAAATTAATTTCACAAACCAGAAATACGCAATTAAAAAGAGGAAGAACATAATATAACTTTACGAATTTTAAAACATCTCCACATTCAAAACTGTAGGATTTTGAAATATTGAACTACTGAAGTTAAAGCACTGTAATTGTAAAAACTATTATGCTTCAAACATTTAGATCACATCTGTTTACAAATACTTAAATATCATTAATTTAAAATATTACATTGAAATTATTGAAATATCATTCAGTTAAAAATTGTGTAGGTATATCAAATTTACAGTTTGGTTTAAAAAAATCACTAAATTTAGAATATAAAGTTACGACAGATTTTTTTTTCACATTTAACTGCATTTAGTTGAACTTAAAAAACCAATAAGTTATATTTTCTCAGATGTTTCTATACTGAATCATAAAATTTAATATTGAAGCTAAATAAAATAATGAGGGCACTACCAATATAATATATTAAACGATGTACCTCTTGGCAGATTTCATTGAAAACCTTCTCCTGGACTTATGACCCATGCGAGTGATAACTGTCCGCACTTGTAATCACACACAATATTTATTTTTTTTAAAAGTAATTTCAAGCTGCAGTTTTGTTTAGAGTACATAAAATAGATTATATAATTTGTATTTTTCCCATTATGCACAATAATTAAGTGCTTATAAATTGAATTTTTGTGTTTTATGTACAATTCTTATAACCTGTTTGAATGAAAATAGTAATGAGAATAAAAATTTTACATTTTACTTAATGACCAGTCAGTTGGAATAGAACTTGGTCGTAAGTTCCAAAGACACTGAATTTCATCATATATATTTCTGTGTGTGTGTGTGTGTGTGTATGCGTGCATGTGTGTGTGTGTTTGTGCGCACGTGCGCGCATGCGTGTGTGCGTGCGTGTGTGTGTGTGTATATATATATATATATATATATATGTGTTGTATGTATGTATGGAGAAAAATTATAAATAATAAATTGTGCAATATACTCTGTGTGTCCTCATTATTTCAATTCTAAGTGGGAAAGCTCTTTAGAATGAAGGTGAGGATAAGTAAAATTGAACAATAAATGTCAGATGTAACCTATAAAACTAACAAAAACTAATGCAACACATTTAAAAACTAAAGCTAATGCACAAACTGCAAATTAAGCCACATTAACACAAGAAAGTGGATAAAGTCAACATCCATGAAACCAAAATGGCTGAATATAATGCAGATTTTCCCAGAAATCTATACCAATTTCCAAATATGCTGATGCTCCTTGACTCCAGGGCCCGCCTCCATGGTCATTGTATGCCAGAACATTGCAAGTATATTTCTGTCCTGGCATTAAGTCTGGGACTATCAGATCAATGCTATCTGCGTACAGGTATTGCCAGGGTATATTCTCGTCATTATCTTGTTTGTATCTCACGTAATAACCATGTAGGAAATCGCTGTTCCACAAACTCTCATGTAGTTGCTTGTAAGAAATGACATTTTTAAAGTCTTTGTCAGCTCAATGCCAATACATTTTGTTTTAAACTGGCATCATATGATGTGGGATTCATAAGAAAAATATTGTATCTGTAATTTACATTATTGTTTTAGAACTCTGCACCAAAATATTTGAAGAATAAAAGAACCATCTCTCTCTCTCTCTCTCCTCTCTCTCTCTCTCTCTCTCTCTCTCTCTCTCTCTCTCTCTCTCTCTCTCTCTCTCTCTCTCTCTCTCTCTCTTTCTCTCTCTCTCATCCTAACTGTGCACACTCTGAGTGCAACTCAACCATCTTTTAATATTATCATCCCATTTATATTGCTGTCAACCTTTATCTCATTTTGACTTCAAATTTGTGTGGGGGGGGGGGGGGGTGTGGATTCTAAGCTTTAGTAAATTCTTCTGCTATTGCAGCCATATAAACTGTGGATGCCTGAACAACTGGGATATCATCCTCATAAATGTAGAGTTCTAAGTTCCAGTCCTAAGTCCAAGTATTTTTATCTATGAGAAGTAAATCCTAGTGTAGATATTGCCAGGCCAGTCTTAAATTTTCAGCACTCAGTAAAATCTCTCAGGCAAATAGTCCCAGCAATAGTGCCACCATTTTTAGATTGCCTTAACCCTTTGGCCCTGTCAATGCAAGGTCTGTCGTATTTTTTTTTTCAGGGAATGTCTTTTGGCGGTGGTCACCATTTATTTCTTAATCAAAGGAAATCAATCAATCAGGTGCCTTCTCCATAATGAAGGTTGGCTGCAATGGATCTCCAACACGCTGTCTCTTGTCCTGGTTTTACACTCTCTCAGACTGCTGCCCGTCCATCTCTTGATGTTGTCCTCCCACTTGTATGGTTGCCAACCTCTTGCTCTCTTGCCTACGACCTTTCCCTTTACTAAGGTTTTTAAAAGTGTGTTATGTCTTTCAATGTGGCCAAAGTATTTGTCTCTTTTTTATTTATTTCAGTAATCTTTTTTTTTTTATTTGAAGCCTTTCCAGAACTACTATACTGGACTGTTTTTTCTCCTCTTATTTTTTGGCAAATCTTAGAGATGTACAAAAATTCTAAGGGAGTCCGACACATGCTTGCAGTATGATCACAGTTAAAAAATCTTCATCAAAATGACTCAAAATTGATCTGTGTTCAAAAGTCAGCTTGGCTTAAAAATAGGTTAATTAGTTGCATATGCTTTACAGGACGTTGCAGAACCAATCCCAGCATTTTGGCTGTTGTCATTTTTCTAGGCAAATGTTATGTTTAGTAGTTTGCCATTGCTAACTGAACGGTCAGCTCTCAGTACCAGTGTGAAAACCAATGCAAGACAAGCTGTCCGTAGCTGGCATCTAACTCGGTCACCCCGGCAATACGAAGCCCGTTTTTCAACGCCAAAGCCACAGATGCTGACAAAAATAGGTACCAGGAAATACTGTGAGAAGTTAAGGTGGCCAGCATGATAATGATTCTCTCATACATTGAATCTTAATTGTTTTAATAAAAAATATTCTTCTTCTTCTTCTTTCCTTCGCTTTGAAATAAATTATCTATATCTGCAATGTTGTCTCTAGTATTAACTTCACTGTCTTTTGTAATTCTCTCAGGGAGCCATGAAGTTTGACTTGTACCGATGTTTCATTTGGCCAAAAGTTTTGCCTTGATATGTTGTATTTGGGACAGTCCACATGTGCACATGGCTGATTCACCGATTTTAAATTCTGTGTACACGTGGCTGCGTAAGTCGACTGTGTCCTGTTCTAAAATGTAGAATAATGACTTGCTCTGGTCTTTCCATAAAATGGTAATCGTCTTATGCCGGTTTTGGTGGCTTTCTGATTGATTTGATTATTCTCTTCTTTTGCTAATAAGAGACTCGTACATCAGGTTGTTCTTCATTTGCACCATCCTTAGCTAGTTTATCAGCTCTTTCATTTCCGGAAACTCCACAGTGGGATGGTATCCACTGCATAGTTACCTTACAATGACTGCCAGTTTGGAAAAGTAGTGTTCATATATCAGGGAGTTTTCCAGATTGAAGTGCTTGAAGCACCCCTCTTGCATCTGTCAGAAATACCATGGGTTGTGAAATATGATGTATAGTGGCTATCCTCAGAATAACGGTCCCAAATTATCGAGGCTGAAAAAATACCCTAACAGGGCCTCAGTCACATGTAAATTCCAGACTTCCGGAGAATTAATTTGCCGACTTCTGGCAACTACCACCGCCGCTGAGAGTATCTCCCACGCCGCTATGTGCGGAGCGGGGATAAACTAGATGGCTGGAATTCACTAGCAGCAGCTACTGCATCTCCTGCAGTTTCCTTCATTTTATTTGCTCGTGAGTCCCAGCCATCTAGTTTAGCCAAGCTCCATGCTGTGCGTAGCGGCACGGGAGATACTCTCAGCGGTGGGCGGTAGTCGCCTGACTAAGACCCTGTTAGGGTATATTTTCAGCCTCGATAATTTGGGATCGTTATTCAGAGTATAGCCCATATATTTAAGAGTTTTTCTGCTACTATTTTGATGGCTTCAACTTCTGCATCATAGTTATAAAAAATATGTTGACAAGCACCATATATTAAATGTGCCTCAATGCATGTACAGGGTCCTTTACACTTTTTTTTCAACCTACTAACTAGCATATGCAATCAAGTTATATGACTATCTTATATTAGATGATTAGACACAAATTGCGAATAGTTATATCAAAAGTACTTACATCCCAAGTGATTTTGATGGAAGTTCTGGTGACAGCCACAATTTTCACATTTTGTGGAGAGCCATCTGGTTCTAATTTTCAAAGTTAAAAAAAAAAATTAACAAACAAAATATAGTTAATATGAAAAAAACGTTTCGTTAACAAAACAGAAAAACATAAAATATAGCTAACCTGTGTGCGTGTTGTCCATCAAGATGATGATGACCACTCTTTTAAATCAAGTATGAGCACGAAGATGATTGATGAGGCGGATGCGGGCCCGAAAAGTCCTTGGACAGCGAGGACAGGGAATGAGCGTTGTGCCAGGGAGGGGATCTCCTGCAGTTGCCTTTCTGTCCATCCTTTTCCTAATCAGTCTTGCTGTTCTGTTTGCTTCAAATGTAGCTGCGCCCTTGTGTAGAGCTGCACTCCATGCATTTCGGTCTTGAGAGGCAGCCTCCCAGTTGGTGTCATTCATCCCAAATGCTTTGATTTAAGACTTCAAGGTGTCCTTAAAGCATTTCTTTTGCCTACCTTAGGAACGTTTCCCATTTTGCAGCTCACCATAGAACAGGTTTTTTGGGAGCCAGTGATCTGGCATGTGTGCCACATGACCAGCCCAACAAATCTGATACTGCATCAGTAGAGTGTGGATGCTGGGCATGGCTGCTTTCTCAAGGACTATGGTATTAGGTACTTTGTCTTGCCATCTGATCTGCATTAGGTTTCTAAGGCAGACTGTGTGAAAGTGGTACAGCTAACATAGTCAAGGTTTTGTAACAAAACTGATCAATGAAATACCATTTGGCTAATGTTTTGTAACAAAACTGACCAATGAAATACAATATTGCAGATTTTTTAAACAGAACTGAGTAATTAAATACAATAGTGCAGATGTCTTGTAACAAAACTGACTAATTAAAAAGAGTAAATGTGGCAAATATTTGATAATATCCACAATGAGACTGTCTGTTTATCAAGGCCAATATGGAAAGCAACCATTTGCTACAGTCACACATATGTGGATTTTAGTTTGCAGAGAAGTATCAGAGTGGGCTAGAGCTCTGCAATACATTCAACAGATATGGTAACTTTGGGGCCCTATTGAAAGGACAGTCTCAAAACCAACCTCTGTTAACCCCAACATATTGTACCAAGTTTTTTTAATGGTGAAACATAATGTACCAAGTTCTTTTAATGGTGAATGCCAAAGTGGGTAACTTTAGCGCCAAGAAATATAGTTACTATAACATGCATCATGTGAGTAACAAAATATATAACATTGCACCATGTGAATAACAAAATCAGCAGCAGATTCAGTTACTATAACATTGCACCATGTTTCCAACTCACATGTGAATTAGAATTCTCTGACAACTGTTATCAGATTCAGTTACTATAACATTGCACCAAGCAGATTCAGTTACTATAACATTTTATAATGATGGTTACTTTGGTGTAGACAAAAAGTGGGTCAACTTTAGCGAATAACAATGCAGCAGCAGATTCAGTTACTATCAGTTGCACATGTGAATAAGCATTCAGTTACTATAACATTGCCATGTGGATAATTTAAAAAAAAAACAATCAGCAGCAGATTCAATTACTATAACAACTTACTGTCTTGCTTTGTCCGAATATCCTGAGAAGCAGCACTGAAGTCACTCATCCCTATATCATTGACAGCTGCAACTCTGAAGGAGTATACTGTATTGGGCTGCAAACTGACATCAATTTTTAAAAAGTGATACCAAAATGTCTTCAGAAAATGTCAAGACTATAGTCATTATTACATGTACACATAACCACACATAAACATATTGAGATGATAAAGCTTTCACAATGCATTTATGACACTTGCCCCATGAAGTTTGAAAGTAGAGGTTGTTCATCATTACACCATGCTTTCAATCAATTCTGATACAGATGATCTTTCATGTCATATTGTCAAACAGTTCAGCATCCTCTCTCTCAGAAGTCTCCATATGCCCCTCTCTTTCTCTCCAACGTTCCCCCTGTCATGAGGTACTCCAGCTTTCTCTTTCCCATGACATGACCAAAGGATGTAGATTGTCTCCTTTTATCTAATATGTTCATTTATCTCTGCATGTTACTGTAGGTAATCAGGACCCACCATGCTACTATGCATTTCTTCTCACCTGACATTTTTTTAATGTCATCTCCACAATAAGGGAGCAGCCATGGTGTAGTGGCTAGACACTCACCTGTGAATCAGAAAGTCATGGGTTCAGGTCATGATGGAGCCAAACATTTTTCAAAAGTGACTTTGGCTTCCAGGTTGACCCAGCCTTACAATGGGCTAAGACTTGGGAAATAAAAGCAGCCAACGTGATGCTAACCATATCACAGAGTGTGAATTGGTCTATAAAATATAGGTCTTGAGCTAAATACCCAATAGCATGAAGCTGTGGAAAACGTTCCCTTACTTATCTCCCCAATAAAGATTGGGTGCAGTACACCAACTGCTGTCTTTGAGATTATTACGTGGTGAGGCCCCTATTGCTACAACAGTGTTACTTGTTCCACTATCTAAAAGGCATGAGAATATTTAATGCTTTTATTTATATCCTACCACAAACATCGGAAATCCACAGGTCACAGGACAGTCTAATATTTCAGGGGGTGGGACCTAGGCTGCATGCACTCGTTTGACCTAGGCTGCACTCTCTCTTGGGACGTAGGTGAGTTGGGTTATGGCTAGTTCTAGATGTTTTGGGGTCATTAAAAGCATTAGAAAGCTGGGAAACCCAGTCTTACCACCCTCTAAAATGTTGGACTGTCCTGTGATGTCATCTGGGGTAGGATGTTATTAAAGAACTGAATATTTTTAAACAAGGCATGAGAATGTTTTTAAACATTTTTATAAACCATCTGCCTCTGAAATCAAACCCTGGTATGTCAGTGACTGAAATTTTGAAACACATTCACTAACTTTTAAGTCCCACAGCGAAGATTTTAAGCAACGATAAATGCCTTATTATTATTACCCCTTTACTGTGTATGATGTCATATTAGGCTTGATGGTCCCCTCTACCGTCTGCCAGCTGTCTCCTTGTTTGCGATACTGGACGGTGAAGTTTCTGATTGGACCAAAGTTATCATTGCCAGGAGCCCACATTATGCTCACAGATCTGGCTAGAACTTCTGATGTGTCTATTCTCAAGTTGACAGGAGGGTCAGGCCGTTCTGTACATGAAAATGGACATAAAAAAACCTGTTCAAAAACAAGTAAAGATAATATGTGACAATTCTACCGTGAAAGTTCCAAGGCTCCATGGGGCGAGAGGGTTAACAGACCAACCGCCCTGTTAACATACCAAACGCCCTGTTAACATACCAACCGCCCTGTTAACATACCAACCGCCCTGTTTGTGAGAGGTGACTAATTAAGGGTTTACTGAAATCAGGTGTCTTGGGCTGAAAAGTGCAGATATCATGGCCTATCTATAAGCCACAACACAATGTGCCCACCTCTATTTTCTAAAGACAAACATAGAAGAAAGGGGCTGTGATAATGTAGTGGCTAGATGTTCGCCTGCTGGCCCAAAGGTCTTGGGTTCAAATCAGCATCAAGGTAATTATTTTTTTGGCTCTCAGGGTGACCCAGCCTAATATGGATACCAGGCCATGACCTGGCAAGTAAAGGCAGCTGAGATGATGTTGGCCACATCCCTCACTGATTGGTCAAACAAAATGAGTCTAGAACCACATGCCTGAGGTGCCACAAGTATATTTAGGGTCCCTTACTTTTTTTTAAAGTAACAGTTGAGTTGAGTTGAGTCAAGAATTGATATCACAGAACTCGGGGCATTCCCATGCATGCTCTGACCTCATCTTCAGCAGCCAGCGCAGAGTTCCAATACTGATGGTACCGGTAACAATCTGGTTATATGTCCGTCTTGCCTTTCCTCTGAGTGTAGTGAGCCGACCAGACCCTCTGGTTACACCCAAGTGCCTCATTCTCTCCAGGCCATAATAATCTTGTTTCTTCACTAATTCCTTTGCTTGTTCCCAAAAGGCCTTGACCACATCTGCCTTGTCATGTATCAGTTCACCACCCTGTGGTGCAGATCCAGCCAATCTGTCTGCCTGTTCATTTTTTTAAATAACAGAAGCAGAAAAAGGAAAAGAAGCAGGAGGAGGAGAAAAGTGGAATAAGAAAAAGATATGCCACAGAAGTGTTAAGTCACTAGTCAAAACTTCTTCTTCACTGCAGATGGGTCACCCCGTAAGTGCTCCATTTCTGTGCCAGTGCAACTCACACAAAATATCCCTCACTGTCCCATTTGAAAAACTAATGGAAAACATATCAGTCCCAGCGAAATCTTGTTTGGTTATAGAATTATTATCTGTCTCTATGTGGGACGCAAATTATTATTATTTTTTAAAAAATTATCTTAAGCCCCACCCTGGCTGTTTCCGGGGGCACTAATATAAAACAACCTATGGGTTGAACAGGGTTTCTGGGACCTTTCCCCAGTTGATCCTCATCCTAATAGTAGCACTTTGTGACACTGGGTGTTTATCGCTCAGTGTGATGTCCTGGTGGGGTAAAACATCAATCAATCTTGTTTGGTGTCGACATATATACTAGACTATTTCATAATTAGGCTGGGTGACCAGCTTCCTTCTTCATCACAACTCTGCTTAGTAAACATTACCAATAAGAATCATTACTAGAAAATGTTACTGAAACAGTAAAATCGGAGGGTGAAGGAAATACAGAAATAAACATAAAGAAGATGCTAAACAGGTTAATAAAACATATACATTAACTGCAGGTTATAATCTGATCCTATCCTGATACAGTGCTAATAATCTAATAATAAGGACTTTCTGGGAACACAAGAAATGGTTCTTCTTATAAAAAAATTCCTCTTATCCAGATAAGAGTTCAAACAAGAAAAATTGCCGGGGATAATCAAATTGTTCTTTGAAACAGAATTCCCCATATCTGAGATTGCATTAAGTGGTCTGCACTGGATACAGAAGTGATATTAGACAGACGATAAGTTAAAATTTACTTCATTTTATAGACGAATGATAAGAATACACTGGACAGATAAAAAGAGTAATGAATATGTCTTGAAATAAAATGACTTCTTTTTCAGCGATCTCTGGTTATCCACATAATCCACTGTGGACCATAAACTAGGATGCCATCTCAAGATCTCTTAGGTTTCCCCAAAGTTTAATTTAAACTTAATGTAGATCGACATAACTACCGACACAACATAGGATAAACTATAAGAAAAAGTGTAAACTGCACTTTCATAAGCATATCACAGGCTGCCAAGAGCAGGCAACTATGCAGTCATGGGATAGGCAACTCTTACCTCTATTAGATATGGTATACACATCCACAGTGGCAGCAGCACCCCATCCGTCCTGGGTCCTAGCTTGCACAGAAAACACGTAATAGGTCTCTGCAGCCAGTCCACTCACTGTGTACTGAAACACAGTTTCTGGAAGATCTCTTGTTTGATTTGTGAGAACTGAGTTGGGCTCATCTCTTCGTTTGTAAGACACTTTGTAATTGATGATGACTCCATTAGGTTCTTCTGGAGACTGCCATACCACTGTAGCAGAAGTCTCATTCACTTGAGGGAAGTAGATGATTATTGGTGGCCCAGGAACTGTGAAGAAGCAAGGCATAATACATGAGGGAAGCATCTCTAATTATAAACAATTATTGCAGCAATCAGAATTACTGAGAAACAAGTTATTGTATTACACCTCATATTTATTCTTTTTAAAAAGGTAATGGTGATAAAATATCACAAAATGCTACTGTATACAGTGGTAACTTTACATAAGCTTGCCAGGCACAGGAGATTACTCTAGCAGAGACAACAGTGGCAGGTTAGACCTAGACTGCAGCAAAGTGCAGCAACTTCTGATGTTGCTTCCATCTGTTGTCTGTACTGCACAAGAGTCTTCCGGTCTAAAATTGCACTTATCAGTCATATGAGACTGAACAGATCAGACAGTATTAAGAAGCCTTACAAAATGTGCCCGACTGGGAATTATACTCATTTACAAGTGAGGTGATTGGGGGAGAGGGGGGGGGGGGGGACCCTGACATTATCTGATTACAGAGTCTCCTTGACTAATGACCGAGTTCTGTTACAACTAACAGGTCATAAATTGAACAGGTCGTAAGTTTAATTTATATTTTCTGGCACTACTTTCATTTAGACTGGGTTATAAAACTTTTTTTTTGTGTGTGCATAAAACAAGAAAACCCAATCTAAGTATGTATAATTAGACCCTGCTGCACTCTAGGCATTAGTTTCTGGAACTTTTTGATCCTATCAATGTAGTTAATTTCCTTTATTTAATTTTTGTTATTATTTATTTATGTTTTGGTGAATGTAAACTGAGGATGGTACTAAGTCGCATAGGTCATAGGGAAAACAAAAAATGTACTGGGGGGAAAAAATTGTATGGATGACTTATTGCCTTCTTTTATCTAAAAAGTCAACAGAATGGCACAGAGACAAGAGAATTAAAGGCTAGAATGAATAATATGGAACTGAGAAAATACTGAATAAAATACTACCAAAATTTATTTGGCATAAGTGGATTTTTAACTTTACAAATATATTTTGCAGTTTTCTTTCAAAGGCACAGAAAAAAAACAACAAAGCATACAAATTTAACTAATATGCATGAACAAAACAGATCTGAGAGGCCTTTAGTGAGTGGCTTTCTTGCAAATCTGCTAAAGCTTTCTGCAAGCCAACAGGAACTTTTATCTTTGTCTCAGAGCATATTTAACCAATGTATGATTTTTATTCTATAAATGCTGAAGAAGATTTCCTGTCTTACCATCACTTGCTGTCCTGACAGTGATGACATTACTGAGAACGCCATCACCCACACGAGTAGAAGCCAGTACCTGAATGCTGTACTGTGTAAATTTGCGCAGGCCTGTCAGTGTGGCATTTAGACTTTTGGCTCCGTCAACTTCCAGGAACTGGGCCTCAGCCCCAGTTCTCAGTGCTATGTACTTTACCTGTTGAAGGATTGCAAAATAACACCAAGTAATAAAAAATTCAAAACAGAAGTCAAGAGTTGTGTTTATACATTAAACCAGCAGTTTCCAATTAGCTAGGACCTTATTATTTTCGGAGCTTTGCCATAAGACCCTCTACTTTTTCACAGTCATGCTGTAAACCTTTTCTATGATTCATACATTAGTACTGCAAAAATGATTCTTTAACATTCTTTTCAAGTACCTGCCATGAACACCATAATTTTGTTTAAATACTCATGTGGATAAACTTTTATGATATATAAATATTACAATCACAAAAAAGGAATGTGATCTAAAAATTGAGGTTTTTTTTATTAAATGATGTCACTGACCCTTTTTAATTTGTTTCTCTGGGGTCTGAGGATGCAAAATTGGAAACACTCTATTTTGTGTTTGTAAGAAAGTGATAAAGACAGAAAGACCAAAATGAGTTCCATACTAAAGATCATTGCTGCATTATTAAAGACAATAAAAATTTGAATAACAGACTAAATGAAAGAAAATTACTTATGAAACTGCTGGGAAAGCTGAATTTTTAAAAGACAGAACTAATATCATTATGTTCTTAGCAAGCTGGCTAATTCCTAACCTTCCTAAGCCAACATTAAAGTGTCTGAATGCTAACTGTCCATGTGGGACGCTGATGATCTCAGCAGCTGCATTCTCCAGTATCAGATTATAAACTGTAAGGAGTGTTTAGCTAGATGTATTAACTACTGCATCCTTATGCTGTTTATGGTTGTTTTAACTTCATATACATACACATTCTGTTTGTTTCCTGTGGATGTCTTTGCTGTTCCACTCACTCAAAAGTGTGGATTCTGGGACCCCATTTGGGGAGGGGGAAGAATAGACTGCCTCCCTAACAAACATGTCATATAATATGATAAAATAAGGGTTTGCTGAAATCATATGTTGGGCCGAAAGGTGCAGATATCGCAGCCTAGCTGTAAACCATAACACAATATGTCACACTTTATAAGGCTAATGTAGAAGAAGAAAGAGGAGAAGAAGAAGAAGAAGAAAAAGAAGAAGAAGAAGAGAAGAACTAAAAAGAATGATGATAAAGTCTTGAAAGATTGGTAACTAATATCCGAAGAACAGAATTCCTTTACTTTTGGCAAATAATGAGGAAAAAATTATCAGAGTGGGCCAGTTCAACTGCAGAGGGAAACCAAGAGGCTGGAAGGAACAGCACCATGGCATGGAAGAACATATGTATCAAAAATGATTGAGAGTAAACAAGACACAAGGTTGTGGGCAAGCACGCTTACCAGGCCACATACCATGGACAATAAGAAGATCATCGTGTCAGCAAATATTCTGTTTAGGTTCATAAAGATCTGAAAACTATCCATCTGCTCACCATTATTAATCTTTCAATATAAAGAGTAGATCTGCAATGTGTCAAAGGTGGATAAGATCACCACAAGATGACAAAAACTGAACTTCATTTGTCATGTAATACTGTCAGATTAGTTTGAAGTAGTAATTTGAACAATGATATTCTGTTCAAACTCATCTGAGTTATAACTGGAAGATACAAATTATTTCTATTTCAAAATTGGATGTTCATGATTGTGAATTACTATTGCTAATTTAATATTGCATAATTTGTGTATTAACTGTTACAGATTGTAGGAGTATAGATTGTTAAGGTTAATATATTTCAAATGTACTTTTAAATTGTGATAATATTTAACTGTATGTGTGCAGGAAGCAAGAACAAGTCAGGTATAAATTATTCAAATAGTATCACAATTGCTATCTCCACCACTCACAGTCCCAAACCTGGATGAGAAAGAAAGAGGGCTGAGCATGGGGACAGCTCCCCCCAACCTGTAAAAATTATTTGCTAAAGACAGAGAGGTCAAAAGTGCTGGACTAGATTCTTTCCATGATATTTAGGTGCTTGCACAGGATAGAAAAGAATGGAGAAACAGAATGCCAGCCCTATATGACATATAATGTCACAACAGGACAATGAATGAAGGATGAATGAATCAATATTGCCAGTATCTTACTTCTGTTGCCAGTTATACATGCAGTGATGAATGCTAATAGCCAGCGCATTTAAAACTATCAATGTTGAATGTTGAATAAAGAATCAACATCATAGCACTCGGGACAACCCCCATAAGCGCTTCATCCCCATCTTCAGAAGCAAACAAAGAGTTCCAATTCTGATGGCACCAGTAACTGTCTGATTATATATCCATCTCACCCTTCCCTAAGTGTTGAGTGCTGGCCAGATCAATTGATTACTCCTTGCAGACCATAATGATCTACAATTAAAACTATGATACAATAGCTAACATCAGTAACTGAGCCTGACATAAACCTCTAGAAAAAATTATCACTAGGAATCTTTCTTACCTTATAACCCTGAACATTTCCATTCTGCTGTAAAATTGGCACAGGAGACCAAGAGACAAAAATAGTTGTTGATGATTTCGATGTGGACATGACATTTCCTTGGGCTGGCACTGGGCACTGAAACAATAACATAACAGAAGATATTATAAAGTATCTTGTATCTTACTTTTCATTGTTTTTTTTCTACAATAAAAGAGACCAGTACTTTTCATCTCTTCTCTAGTGCATGTTAACAGCAGTCTTATATCATCATATTCTTATTAACAGAAATTTTATATCATAAATCTAAATTATCAAAGAAACAGGTATAACTATGATACAATTATCTAAAGACATATAGCTATACTCCAGGTTAGCCGGGATTCAAAAATGGGGTCAACATCCCATCTTTGTAAAACCTCTTTCTGACATGAAACACATATCTAAGCCTTGAATTCAGATGAGGAATGGAGGTGGGTGATATCTGCAGCAATGAAATTAAAGGACTCAGAATAATGAAGAAGAATATAATTAGGGTGGGTAAAAATTTATGTTTAAATATTCTTTCCCAAATTCTGGGTGCCACAGTTATAGCACAGTAGCTAGTACTGCGCTTAACCAGGAAATTTTCTAGGTAAAAAAGCAGCCACCAGGATACTGACTACATTAAAGCACCCACTAAATGCTGACTGGTTTAAAAATATGCAGTTAGCACCATATACCTAGTATGTCCCATGGAAAAAGAACAATAGTGTCCTATACTTTACTTACTCCTCATATGGGTTCCAAGACCGCACAGTGGGAGCAACAACAACAACAACAACAACAACAACAATAATATAGACCTACTGCCCCAGTAAAAGGCATGTCATAATAGTTGACTAATTAGGGGCGTGTTCTTTCAAGGCAAAGTACATCTGCCTGAAAAGTGAAGAACCAACAGTCTTCTTTTTTATCTTCCACCCTGTACCTCAGAGATGTGTTTGAGGAAGATGTAACATTCGTTGATGAGCTCTGTCAAGAGAACTTTTAAGACTGATGTTCATTTCTGTAAGGCTGTTCTCAATGCCATCATTCCATTCCATATTTTCTGAAGTCTTCCACCCACTCTATACCCTTTGCAATGTTTTAGTGTGGCTCACTGGACATGGACAAACAGCCAGAACTTTCCACTTAAGCTTACAGCCGGTGAGCGACAAGAAGAAGAAGACGAGACTTACCATCCTCATCTGTTCTCTCTGAAAGAGTTGGACTTGCACTGCTGTTGCCAACTGCATTGTATGACAGCATTTGTATCTGATAATCCATCCACTCCTCCAGCTTAGTCAGATAGTACTCCTGAATGCTGCTGCCATTGCTCAACTCAACAACTGTCCAAATACTCTGTCTCACCAAGTCCAAGTCTGCCTGGGATGTAGTGTTTACATCAACATCTTTGCTCCATCTTCGATAAAGTATCTTGTAGCCCAGGAAATCACCATTCCATTCAGAACGAGGGACTGGCTAATTTTTATTTTAAAAAAATTTACATGAAAGAAATTATAAATATGTGCTGAATATATCTTTGTATGTGTGTGAAAGAGATATAAATTTTCTCTGCATGTGTGTGTGTGTGTGTGATAGACAGACAGACATGAGAACACAGACAGACAGAATGACAGGAGAACACACAGACAGGCAGATAGATAGAAGAAGACAGACAGACAGGAGAACACAGACAGAAGAACACAGACAGACAGGAGAACACAGACAGACAGGAGAAGACAGACAGGAGAACACAAGACATACAAGCAGACAGATAGAAGAACATAGACAGACAGACAGGAGAACACAGATAGACATACTGACACCTAATACATGAAGTAATGTTTTATTTAAAAAAAAACTACATTTGTCACCTTATTTACCATTTAGGCTGGTGTCAGACAGGGAGGTTTTAACCCTCAGGATGTAGGACCCTATGGCTGGTTCAGTCACTCTGACCTGTGCAGATTAGGGTTTTAACTTCTGCCCCTGACAGAAAAATGTCTCTCACTTTCAAGGATATCAAGCGTTCACCATTTAAGCGGAAGGTTCTTGTTGCTTGTCTACTACTGAACTGCAGTCCTCTTAGATAAGAATCTCTTGAATACATGCCTCTAACTCCTCTAGCAGACAAATGCTTTTTTTGGGATTCTTTTTCAATGGGGCCCCGGAACCCACACAGGGGATAGGATTAAATCTTTTCCACATTCTTCAGGTACTTAATCTTTTACCTCTTCAGGTATTGAGGGAAATATAAGGTTCTGCTTCTTGCTCTTCTGGTCACCTCGACCATAGATATATCGTGCCCTTGTAGACGACCATAGATATGATAGATATATCGTACCCTTTAAGTTAGAAAAAAAAATTAAAGGACCCATAGATTTTGCCCACGCCTTCAGGTGTATATCGTGCCCTTGGCTAGATATATCGTATATTTTAAAGACCAACGGCTTGTACAATTTCTCTGATGGGTGATCCACGCCTTCAGGGTCTAGACCATTTTCACGCCAACGGCACAAGATGGGTGATGTGGCCGCTTCTACTTCCCGGAACTGCACCCAGTACCCACTCCAGGCTGGGTCAACCTGGGAACCAAGGTCATTTTTTAAGAAAAGTCCGGCTCCACCAGGGAGCGAACCCACGACCTTCCGCTCCACGGCGCGCGTCTAGCCGCTCTGCCACAGTGACTACCTTAAATAAAGAGGTTAAGGTTAGTTGCGTATCCTTTACAGGATGTTGCAGAACCAACCCCAACAGCCCCTGGCTGTTGTGTTGTTTTTCTAGGCAAATTTATGTCCAGTAGTTTGCCATTTCTTTCTGGACGGTCGGCTTTCTTGATACCACTGTCGAAACCAACGCAAGGCGCATGGCCCGCAGCTGGGAACGAACCTGGCATCCCGGCATTACGAAGCGTTCGCATCGGCTTAGCCAGAGCTGACTCTCTGGTGTTATCTTTCCATATTTGTCTTGGTCTACCCTGTGCTCTATGTTCTTCTCTTGTTTAAGTGCATGTCTTGGATCGCCAGTTTCGTGAGACTGATGCAGCGGGGAGTGACGAGAGGTTCTGGCAGATGCTGGAGGCTCATAGGAAAGGCAAGACGGAAGTTTAATCAGAATGCTACTGGCACCATTAGTATCGGAACCCTTTGCTGGCTGCTGAAGATGGGGACAGAGCACTTATGGTAATGCCCCGAGTGCTGTGATGTCAGTTCTTGAATCAAATCAATGTATGTCTTGTATGTATGGTGTGACATTACAAGGCATTCTCTCTAAGTAGGCTAACCATTGGATTTGTTGTCTGTATGTAATTTATAAATGTTTACATGCTGACTTTGTCTCTTAAATGTATCTATTCTGGTTACTCTTGCAGCCCTTCTTTGATATCTCATTTCCATGATTACTAATTTTCTTTTCTGGTTTGTTATGGGTGACAATGTCTGGCACTGCACTGGCAGCATAGGGTGGGAAAGAATATGCTTTTGATAAGATGTTTCTTTGTACTGACTGACCGGGACTGAAACCAGGGTATCGGAATTCTATACAAATATTTATGCACTGAAAACTCACCATCCAGCGGATCCTGATGGATGTTGAGCTATTGGCTCTTGGAGTGATATCCTGTGGGGGCATCCCTGGGGCTGCCTGCTTTGTCTGGAACAGGTTACACGCTTCACTGGGCACACTGTTGCCAACAATATTCTGGGCTATGATCCGAAGCCTGTAGCTTGTGTATGGGTGGAGACTGTAAACTGTAATCTGATCTGCTGTTGGATCACTGATGTTGTAAATCCGACTCCAGCTGTTGCTGCCATCTATCTGAGCCTGTGCAATGGGAATGAGTATTATAATAATTAAAGTATAGCAATTGTACGTAGTTCATTCACATTTACATATCTTCTTGTTTTTCTGTATTTGCCCTTAAAGGGGTGGCTGACATGTTGTTTACTGATTTAACAGTTAACATCATAGCACATATTGTGGTTTACAGCTAGGCTGCAACATCTGCACCTTTTGGACCACAATATTCAATTTCAGCAAACTCCTAATTATTTGCCTTTTATGACATGCTTGTTATGAGGCAGTGGTTCTATTTTTTTTTACTCCCAAATGAGGTCCCAAAACTTACGCAGGGAAAACTTACATATCAAAATAATGCTAATCATGCTAAGCAGTGAATAGCAAAGTGAATAACAAACTGTGACAGCTGCTTCTTCTGCTATTTATTGCCCAATGCAACAAAATTCCACAACTGACTCATACCAAACAGCTCTATTCTTTGCTGTCAAGTGAAATACATCATTTGTCTTCCCCATCTTAGTTTCTGCAGTCTCTAATTCAATTCACAGACTTTTTTTTTAATTTCCAGTTTTTTATGTTTGGCCCTAGTGGTTCCACTGTAAGGACATTCTACTTCTGTCCTAACCATTGTATGTTCCTCCCTTGATTCATCTGAATTTAACTATTTCCCTCCCTTAGTTCCACATTAGTGATTCTGGCATACTATTCCATTCCCTTTATTCTATGCAGGCGCAAGTTAATGAATATTTTTGTAGTTAACTGCTTTTTATCCATTTCTATGTTCCAGGTAGTGGGACTGCTGCACAGTAAACTAGTATTTTATATACAGGATTTCACTGAATTACCAGTGCTAAGAACAATGGCAGAAGATTTAACCATGTCCTAGATATTTTTAAAAAATAAAAATCCACTTTGCTTTTAAAGTAAATATGGAACTAATCAGGAAAGTTACCCCATCTCATTTGTGCATCCTATTCATGTCATGACAGTTCCCACGGGAGCTGTCCTATGTTGTAGGAGTGTTATGACATGGCATGCTTCGTCATGTGCTAAAAAGCCGCTGCTGCAGGTTTGTTTTTGTAACTGTTTTCTGTGAATGGTAGGTCTTAGGCACCGAAGGTGCCAGTGCACGAGGAAGAACTACTGCAGGGGAAAGCACAGAAGGTGCGGCACTTCGCGAGTACTGAATCATTGATGTTTTTTTATATTATTATGCTCAATGGCTGTGGCTGACCTCACCTGTGGATCTGCTTGAAACGGCCAAAAGGAGGAATACATGATACCTATAGACTACAGGAGTGTACAGGGAAATTCCCTATGAAGTCAAACAGCCAACGAGACAGGGTGACTTTCATAATTTGTACCATAAAAATTATTTTATAAAAATCCCAAATATGTATATAAATAAAAAGCACATATAAAAACCAGGACATTAGAAAGAACAAGGTATATAATTCATGTATGAAGAACAATGTTTATGACAACATCCCAAGAATGACACACAGAGAAGACAAGAGAAGAGAAAGTGAAGAGAAGAAACCTCACTTTAAAAAAAAAAAAAAGTGCAATAACAAATTATTGATCAGAAGAAACACTAAAAGACAGACATGTAAATAGGAAGTATGTAAAAGCAAGTCTATTACTGATGTAAATATCAAAAGGAACAAAAATAAATATATTGATCCTTGGGAAGAGATTAGGACCTCACCATGTAAAATTCTACAAAACAACAATGGTACACTTTAGCCAACCTTCATTGTGAATACAGCACATCATTTATTTGAATTTATTTTGAATGTTTATAAAAGAATAAATAATCAATTTTTTTTTTTTTTAAAGCAATAGAAAACATCAATGATAATATGTAACCAGAAGCAAGACTACATATTTAGTGAGTACATTAACAATGAGAATGTAAAAATCAGTGACATCAATGACAGATTTAAGTAAAGAATACAAACAAAAGATGACCTAATTGAGTTGACAAGAAGTAACATACAATGATGAACAACAAATACCAAGTGTATGTGTGGTGTGGGTATGTGTAGTACAAGTATGTGTGTGTGCACATGTTGAAAAAAAAAAATTGCAAGCTAGAAGTGAATCTGGGGTGGATACAGACAAAGCTGCAAGAGATGGGACTGGATAGTATAGCTTAGCATGAAATGGCTGAGGCAAGGCTTTCTCTAGGGGATGGGCCAAGGCACAATTCCAGTCAAATGTAAAACATGGGTGAACAAAGAGGGTGTTGTTTTTTCCCCAGAGTGAATTAATAGTGGACCTGTGATTTTTATGTGTATGGTTAACTTGCTTTCTAATTACATTTCTGAAATATGTTGTTGTAAAGTGTTAAGTGCAATTAACTATGCCTGCGAAATGTTCTGTATCTGAGTGTAGGTCAAATTATCATTCTTCAAGTGGATGGGTAAATGTGTTTACATTTCCTTTGGATGCTCAGTTAATATAAGGATGGCTGAAAATTTATTCCACAAAAGAATTGGACACCTGGGAAAACCACTGGGTGAACAAAAAGAATATTGCAAATATTCTGGGTGGACAAGAAAACTATTGCGAATATACTGGGTGGACAAGAAAAATATTGCAAATATACTGGGTGGAAAAGAAAAATATTGCAAATATTCTGGGTGGACAAAAAAAATATTGCAAATATACTGGGTGGAAAAGAAAAATACTGGGAAAATACTGGGTGGACAAGAAGAATACTGCAAATATCCTGGGTGGGCAAGAAGAATACTGCAAATATACTGGGTGGGCAAGAAGAATACTGCAAATATCCTGGGTGGGCAAGAAGAATATTGCGAATATACTGGGTGGAAAAGACAAATACTGGGAATATCCTGGGTGGACAGAAGAATATTGCAAATATACTGGGTGGATAAGAAGAATACTGTGAATATCCTGGGTCAACAAGAAGAATATTGTGAATATACTGGGCTGATGAGAAAAAATATTGTTAATATACAGATGGTTCCCTGTCAAGAGGCAAATGAAGTGCCTCAGGGTTCTTAGCAAAAGCTGATGGTCGATGATTGGTGCAGAAGAGCATGATACCAACAAATTTCAGCTTAAGAATGGAGGTGGAGGCGGTCACTGCAGCTTTTTATGATACATGCACTTACTCAGAAAGCATGCTGAGGAAGGTGAGGACAGGCATCCTTCATGCAGAGTGGCATGATTTGCTTCAGAGGTCATGGGTGAGGAGCTTTGGATCTTTGCTCCGGGGTATGGCGGTGTCGTGGGAAATGAATGGGTGTACAGATTGGTTGGCTCTGCACAACTTGGTGGAATACTGATGAGGCATAAGGCAGACGTGGACAAGCCCTTATGGGACAAGCCCTTATGGGAACACATGTACAATTGGGAGGAGCAAATGGATCATTATAGTCTGGTGAGAGAGATGCAGCGAGGAGTGATGAAGGGATCTGGCCGATACTCGATGCTCAGAGGAAAGGCAAGGCGGACATATAATCAGACTGCTACTGGTACCAGTGGTATTGGAAATCTGCACTGGCAACCATAGATGGGGACGAAACGCTTATGGGAATGCCCTGAGTTTTGTGATGTTGGTTCTTGAATCAAATCAACTCTTCTTCACCTCCTATTTTACCGTTTTAGGTATCAAGAGAGATGTAAGGTCCTGCTTTAGATTCTTCTGGCTGCCTCTACAAAAGACATAATGGTAGCTGGAGAGTTTTTCTAGTGTTATCTATCAACCATGTTCTGTTTCTATCTTGTGTTCTATGTCCTTCTCTTCTTTTGGTGCATGCCTTGGATGGTATGGCATCACAAGGCATTCTCTCTAAGAGGGCAAACCATTTGATTTATTGTCTCTGTATGCAATTTAAAACTGGTTCTAATGTATATCTTATTTTAATTTACGCAGGCAATACAAGAAAATCAGAAAAGTTCATAATAAATGAACATGTACACACACTTCACAATTCAACAACAGCGAGAAATAAAAGAGAAATGTACCTCAACTATCCACAGTGTGATGGAGGTCTTGCCATCATAACCTGGGACAAACTGCAGTAACACAGACCTGGCTTCAATGTTGGTCACTGCAAGTTGTGTTGGTGGCTTGGGCAGTTCTGAATATTGCAACAGCATATGAATGATTTCAGTTTTGTGGTATTAAAGCTGTTATTCAATGATTTATTTAGCTAAACCTATTACAGATTTTATCATCTCAGTTCATAAACACAATTATAACTCTTCAGTCCCAAGGAATGCATCACACACTAATTGGTTATTACCCAGCTGCCCATCGGCTGCACGATGTGTCATCATCATCAAGTGCCTGTGATTTGCAACTTGTGTATCAGTTCATGTGTTGATACCCCTCTATGCCATGACAAAAAACTGTCAAGAATCTTTTCACGCTGTCTTCCTCTGTCTCTTTTTCCGCAGATCTTTCCAGTGTTCACAACATGTTCCATTTTGCATGATGTATACAAGTATTTAATTTACCACAGGCCAGTATTTATAAAAACAGCAGTTTTGAATGGCATTGCCTGGTTTTGTGCGTATGTTCAAAAATACACATGCTGACCACCAGGTTTATTTGATACATGGTTAAAAGCTAAAATATAGCATGTTTGTGAGCTTTACTGAGTTACTGTCTGTTTAAAAATATGACTTTCCAGCAGACATCTCTATGCATGCCAACAAGATTTATGGCTTTAGAAACCACAAATTCAAATAAAACGTGTATTTATCCAAAGCTAGAAAAAGAATGTTGCAAATTTGACTTGTTTCAGTCATTTACAGAGTCAGACTTTGATGAGGGATAGCTCTAATATGTGCCTTGTGCAAAGCGTACAATGATAGCAAAGTCAGCTGGCATAAAGACTGTTTTTAAAAATTAGTGAAAGTGTAATTTTTCTTCAGTGTCAGTTAGGTTTAGTTTGATTCCTTTATTATTTGTGAACATAGGCTATAAAATTACCCCCCCCCCCCCCCCCCCCCCCCGGAAATACTAACTGTTTTCGGAAGTCATTTTTTAAACCAAAAAATGGTGCTCTGTTATGATGTTCCAAAAGTTTCTCTGAAACTAGATTTAATGCACAGATTATGTTTATATTTTATTTATATGTTACTAAGTGGTTCATGTTCATTTGTGATTCATTTGAATATAATTTATTGAGTTTTTCTTGAACACGATCAAGGTAAGTGGACAAATTATTATTTAATTTTACTAATTTATCTAAACATGCCATCTGTTTACTTACTAATATTCAACTACTAACACAATTATTTGTTATAGCAGTATTTTAATATTATTCCTCAACAATCCCTGGCCACTTTGATGTATAATATATCTGTGTCACATTGCATAGCAGCTGAATTAGTATGGTCTGTTTTAATGTGTTAACACTTGTGACATTTCAAAACTGCATTACTACCCCTTGGTCCTAGTTAGTTAGTTAAGTCCAGAATTGACATCACAGCACTCGGGGCATTTCAGTACTGATGGTACCGGTCACAATCTGGTTATAGGTCCGTCTCGCCTTTCCTCTGAGTGTAGCAAGTCGGCCAAACCCTCTGGTTACACTCAGGTGCCTCATTTTCTCCAGGCCATAATAATCTTGTTTCTTTATTGATTCCGTTACTTGTTCCCAAAAGGCTTTGACCACCCCTTGGTCCTCTTATGCTAAACCCCTTGGGACTTAAAGAGTTAAATCTACTTCACTGAATATGCAAATATAATTAAATATGTATTTTCTCACTGATATCAGCATGGTTAATTAATGTACAAAGATCTTAGTGCTCTCATTTTCTTCTTGCACATATTCACACATGGCCATGTTCATATATAGTTCATTAATATGAAAGAGAAGTTAGGCTGCACTGCTTTCTCAAGCCTGTGGCTCAGTACATGTGAATTTAACAGGCATATTTCTGGGTTAGATTTCCCTAATCTCTGAATGCCCCCTGCCACGTGGGGTTCGCCATTTACTCAAGTGGGTTGGGAGGGGGAGAGGGGCAGGTCTTGCCATACATTCAAGGGGAGCACTACCCAAAAAAGACTGGAGAGTACTGATCTAGACAGTGTGGCCATTTTCGTCATCAGAATCTTCCACTTCTGCGATCGAGTAGGGAAGAATAGTTTGGCAGCTACCACTTTAACATGTATGTGCTACATGCAAACACATGCAGGTTTTCTTTATATATTCTGCAGCAAAAATAAAGTAAACAGGAAAATGAGTTTAAAAAAAAAAGAATTAAAAATCATATACCTGGCGGTACACCAGAAACAATCTCAGTTGTCCTAGCAGGTCCAAGTCCCACCTTGGTCCTGGCTCGTACATAGATAACATATGCAGTTTCATACTTGAGGTTACTGAATGTGTGAGACGTGTAATTTGAAGTCCTATTAAAGGAGTCTATCAGGCTTGCATTTTTCTCCTGGATACTGACTTCATAACCTGAAATTATTACACATAGTCTTTAGTGATAAAAAGACCTTTACTATCAACTAAAAAGCAATTCTTTTTATTCTTTAAGTACCAAAAGATCACAGGTAATACTCAAGTGAGGTAACTGCGACAACAACAAAAGTATACATATACTACATCCCCAGGGCCAAATAACAAATTCTTGCAGAAGATAGATGTGTTGTTGAATGCTTTAGTATACCCTTGCTAAACATAAAATGTGCAGAGTGGCAAGCATCTCTTCAGAGGTCCGGGGTAGTTAGCATCCTCTGGATATTTTCTCCAGGTCATGCCGGTGTGTGGGGAAATGAGCAGACAGATATACTGGCCAGTTCTGCAACACTTACTGATGTATGACAAGCTAGATATTGTGCGGGCCCTCTGGGAATGAGTGCACAATGTGGATGTGCAGACAGATCAATATGTCTGAGGAGTAAGGCTGGGAGGAGTTACCAGGGGATGTAGCCGACGCTCAACACTCAGGGAAAGGATGAGACAGATATACAATCAGATGGCTACTGGTGCCATCGGAATTGCAACTCTTCGCTTGCTCTTTTTTAAGTAGCAGTCATCGAAGTACAAGGCCTGTGACCTGCTTCCTGTTGGCCCCTCAAGGTGTAGCCCATGACAAGTATGAGGTTGTGGTTAAACAGTCATGTGCAAGACATGATGCCTTAAGGAGACTTAGTATTTGAGTGCTGCGTTTCAGCTCTGCATTTATAGTTACAATTTTATATGCCTGGAAATACCCATGTTCTGCCCTACATTTACATGTAGGGGGTGGCAAGCAGTAATGTTCAATGTAACACAAAAGTGTCCAGGAAGGTTAACCTGGACAACAAATGACTGAAGATGGATGTGCTAAAAGGTACAAATACTGCAGCTGTGCTGTACACAGCAACAATGCAATTATTTGTGTCATCTAAAACAAAAACTATGTGTGAAGAAGAAGAAGAAACAAAAATTAAATTATGAGAATGAGAACTTTCTTTAAAAACCAACAAGGGATTATAAGACACACATAACAACAACAAAATCCTAGGAACAATGTATTTCATGTTACAAATACCTAGGAGAACTCCATTCAGTTCCTGAGGGGGTTTCCAGTTGACTCGCAGTGATCTGTCACTTATATTGTCAATCTTCAGTTCTGTGACTGGGCCAGGAACTAAAAATATATTTCAAAAGGGTAACAAAATGTCAAGAATGGAATACTCCATACTACATATTAATGAAATAATTATTAAAACAAGGTGTTCCGTAAATTTTAATACAAAGGAAAAATACATACCATTTTTTTTTAAAAAGCCCACTTTGATGCATGACTCCACTGCTGATGAACGCGTAAAACAAGCACAGCTGGAGTTATGCTTGTAATGGCATTGGTGATTTTCTTAGCTTTCCTATGTATATAAAAAGTTATGGGCCACAATATTTAAAGACAGAAAGTGAATAAAAAAAACAATCATTGTTTATTGTTTGCTCATGTTTTTAATAACAGTGGATACATATTACTGTACCACTGGAATAGACATTTCTAATTGGTATGTTACTGTTCCACTGGAATAGACATGTCTAAGTGGTATGTTACTGTTTCACTGGAATAGACATGTCTAAGTGGTATGTTACTGTTCCACTGGAATAGACATGTCTAAGTGGTATGTTACTGTTTCACTGGAATAGACATGTCTAAGTGGTATGTTACTGTTCCACTGGAATAGACATGTCTAAGTGGTATATTACTGTTTCACTGGAATAGACATGTCTAAGTGGTATGTTACTGTTTCACTGGAATAGACATGCCTAAGTGGTATGTTACTGTTTCACTGGAATAGACATGTCTAAGTGGTATGTTACTGTTTCACTGGAATAGACATGTCTAAGTGGTATGTTACTGTTCCACTGGAATAGACATGTCTAAGTGGTATGTTACTGTTCCACTGGAATAGACATGTCTAAGTGGTACATTACTGTTCCACTGGAATAGACATGTCTAAGTGGTATGTTACTGTTTCACTGGAATAGACATGACTAAATGGTACATTACTGTTTCACTGGAATAGACATGTCTAAGTGGTACATTACTGTTTCCCTTTGAATAGACATGTCTAAGTGGTATGTTACTGTTTCACTGGAATAGACATGCCTAAGTTGTACATTACTGTTCCACTGGAATAGACATGTCTAAGTGGTACATTACTGTTTCACTGGAATAGACATGTCTAAGTGGTATGTTACTGTTTCACTGGAATAGACATGTCTAAGTGGTACATTACTGTTCCACTAGAATAGACATGTCTAAGTGGTATGTTACTGTTCCACTGGAATAGACATGTCTAAGTGGTACATTACTGTTTCACTGGAATAGACATGTCTAAGTGGTATGTTACTGTTCCACTGGAATAGACATGTCTAAGTGGTACATTACTGTTCCACTGGAATAGACATGTCTAAGTGGTACATTACTGTTTCACTGGAATAGACATGTCTCAGTGGTACATTACTGTTTCACTGGAATAGACATGTCTAAGTGGTACATTACTGTTTCACTGGAATAGACATGTCTAAGTGGTATGTTACTGTTCCACTGGAATAGACATGTCTAAGTGGTACATTACTGTTTCACTGGAATAGACATGTCTAAGTGGTATGTTACTGTTCCACTGGAATAGACATGTCTAAGTGGTATGTTACTGTTTCACTGGAATAGACATGCCTAAGTTGTACATTACTGTTCCACTGGAATAGACATGTCTAAGTGGTACATTACTGTTTCACTGGAATAGACATGTCTAAGTGGTATGTTACTGTTTCACTGGAATAGACATGTCTAAGTGGTACATTACTGTTCCACTAGAATAGACATGTCTAAGTGGTATGTTACTGTTCCACTGGAATAGACATGTCTAAGTGGTACATTACTGTTTCACTGGAATAGACATGTCTAAGTGGTATGTTACTGTTCCACTGGAATAGACATGTCTAAGTGGTACATTACTGTTCCACTGGAATAGACATGTCTAAGTGGTACATTACTGTTTCACTGGAATAGACATGTCTAAGTGGTACATTACTGTTTCACTGGAATAGACATGTCTAAGTGGTACATTACTGTTTCACTGGAATAGACATGTCTAAGTGGTATGTTACTGTTCCACTGGAATAGACATGTCTAAGTGGTACATTACTGTTTCACTGGAATAGACATGTCTAAGTGGTATGTTACTGTTCCACTGGAATAGACATGTCTAAGTGGTACATTACTGTTCCACTGGAATAGACATGTCTAAGTGGTACATTACTGTTTCACTGGAATAGACATGTCTAAGTGGTACATTACTGTTCCACTGGAATAGACATGTCTAAGTGGTACATTACTGTTTCACTGGAATAGACATGTCTAAGTGGTACATTACTGTTTCACTGGAATAGACATGTCTAAGTGGTACATTACTGTTTCACTGGAATAGACATGTCTAAGTGGTATGTTACTGTTCCACTGGAATAGACATGTCTAAGTGGTACATTACTGTTTCACTGGAATAGACATGTCTAAGTGGTATGTTACTGTTCCACTGGAATAGACATGTCTAAGTGGTACATTACTGTTCCACTGGAATAGACATGTCTAAGTGGTACATTACTGTTTCACTGGAATAGACATGTCTAAGTGGTACATTACTGTTCCACTAGAATAGACATGTCTAAGTGGTATGTTACTGTTTCACTGGAATAGACATGTCTAAGTGGTACATTACTGTTCCACTGGAATAGACATGTCTAAGTGGAATATTACTCTTCCACTGGAATAGACATGTCTAAGTTGTATATTACTGTTTCACTGGAATAGACATGTCTAAGTGGTACATTACTGTTCCACTGGAATAGACATGTCTAAGTGGTATGTTACTGTTCCACTGGAATAGACATGCCTAAGTGGTATGTTACTGTTTCACTGGAATAGACATGTCTAAGTGGTATGTTACTGTTCCACTGGAATAGACATGTCTAAGTGGTATGTTACTGTTCCACTGGAATAGACATGTCTAAGTGGTATGTTACTGTTTCACTGCAATAGACATGTCTAAGTGGTATGTTACTGTTTCACTGGAATAGACATGTCTAAGTGGTATGTTACTGTTCCACTGGAATAGACATGTCTAAGTGGTACATTACTGTTTCACTGGAATAGACATGTCTAAGTGGAATATTACTCTTCCACTGGAATAGACATGTCTAAGTTGTATATTACTGTTTCACTGGAATAGACATGTCTAAGTGGTACATTACTGTTCCACTGGAATAGACATGTCTAAGTGGTATGTTACTGTTCCACTGGAATAGACATGCCTAAGTGGTATGTTACTGTTTCACTGGAATAGACATGTCTAAGTGGTATGTTACTGTTCCACTGGAATAGACATGTCTAAGTGGTATGTTACTGTTCCACTGGAATAGACATGTCTAAGTGGTATGTTACTGTTCCACTGGAATAGACATGTCTAAGTGGTATATTACTGTTCCACTGGAATAGACATGTCTAAGTGGTATGTTACTGTTCCACTGGAATAGACATGTCTAAGTGGTATGTTACTGTTCCACTGGAATAGACATGTCTAAGTGGTATATTACTGTTCCACTGGAATAGACATGTCTAAGTGGTATGTCACTGTTCCACTGGAATAGACATGTCTAAGTGGTATATTACTGTTTCACTAGAATAGACATGTCTAACTGGTATATTACTGTTTCACTGAAATAGACATGTCTAAGTGGTATATTACTGTTCCACTGGAATAGACATGTCTAAGTGGTGCATTACTGTTTCACTGGAATAGACATGTCTAAGTGGTATATTACTGTTTCACTGGAATAGACATGTCTAAGTGGTACATTACTGTTTCACTGGAATAGACATGTCTAAGTGGTATATTACTGTTTCACTGGAATAGACATGTCTAAGTGGTACATTACTGTTTCACTGGAATAGACATGTCTAAGTGGTATATTACTGTTTCACTGGAATAGACATGTCTAAGTGGTATATTACTGTTTCACTGGAATAGACATGTCTAAGTGGTATATTACTGTTTCACTGGAATAGACATGTCTAAGTGGTATATTACTGTTTCACTGGAATAGACATGTCTAAGTGGTATGTTACTGTTCCACTGGAATAGATATGTCTAAGTGGTACATTACTGTTTCACTGGAATAGACATGTCTAAGTGGTATATTACTGTTCCACTGGAATAGACATGTCTAAGTGGTATATTACTGTTTCACTGGAATAGATATGTCTAAGTGGTATGTTACTGTTCCACTGGAATAGACATGTCTAAGTGGTATGTTACTGTTCCACTGGAATAGACATGTCTAAGTGGTATATTAGTGTTCCACGGGAATAAATATGTTTAAATGGTATATTACTGTTCCACTGGAATAGACATGCCCTATTTGATATGTTGTGTTTAATTTGTTTTCTTCCAAATATACTATTTTATGAATATCTTTGGATGACTTATGCGTTAATTTGTGTGGTTTTTTCATCCAAAAACTTAGAAGCATAATAAATAATGCAAAATATTTAATAATTTGTTAACTACAGAGGCAGCTGCAATTAGAGATAAGGTGCTAATTTACAGCTTGTCATTCTTAGAAAACCTGTCCATACTTTTGTATGACTGATCTGACATTATACAAGGCACAAAGGAGCTGATGTAAGAAGTAGTAAAACTATTAACAAATGGACTTTTTTCTTTGCTCATATTTAGCATTTTACCTTTACCTGTGTTGTAGACTTCACTTTGTGCTTATTTTCTGACATGCTATATTGTATAATATATATTTTCATTTATAAAAAAAAAAACAGAACTCACCATCTTCAAGAGTGCGTATTGTTTGAGATGGACTTTTGGGACCCACACCTGCTCCAGTTTTGCATGCAATTTGAATCGTATACTGAGTGTATTTACTTAAATTGGAAATTGTATATGTCTGAAACAAAAATTGACAACCAGCATTGTAAGTTCCATGTTTACAGCAAATACTATAAACATGACATTTTGTATACATCAACATGTGCCTTGCCAGATGATGAAGGCATTTTTATTGTTCTTGTTTTTTGCATTCACCGGCGGTAAACTCCAGTCCTGGTTTTTGCCCCTTTCTTGACTGGCTTTTGTTCTAGGGTCTGAGTTTTGCGTGTGCATCTGTTTTACAGATTTGGCTACTCTATAAGCAGAATTGGTTCACTGCCTCTTACACAATGCACTCTTACTTTGAAAATAACACCTGCAATTAGTTGCCTCCTATGACATACTTGCTGGGGAGCAGTGGGTCTATGGGATGTAAGCCTCTCCATAGATCTTAGCCCTAGATGTCCCCCCCTCTTTCATTTAGGATCATGTTCCTAAACCTGTGGGTCAATCCTCAGATCAGCACCAGAAGACAAATATTTCCTGGCCATCTGCAAAAATGATCACCCAATTTTGTAGCGGCTAAATACAAACCAAAAGGGAAATCAAATGGATGTTATTGCAGCACTCTCATTCTTAGAAACAATATCACATGTTCTAACCTCTAAGTTGCAGCTGTAGTATAAGTTAAAATTTGATTTGTAAAACTGGGTTTGGTAAATAAAATGCTATCTACATTTGTCTGTGCTTCTGTCTTGGTCAAAGCCAGCCTGTGAAATATTTCGTCTATTTTCCCAGTTCACAAGTTTTTTAAAAAAAAAAGGGTTAAAAATCTAGGCCATCCAAAATAATTTCTCTTGATCCGTCACTCTCTACTTCTTCTACACTGATCACAATATTCTACAATTCTCCAATCCTCTCTTCTTATCACATGACCAAAGAACTCTCTTTCTTTAACTGTACTCTATTTTTATAGTTTTTTCCAGGCAATTGTACTTATCAGTACTCTGCCTGCCTACAGTATTTGCAACTTGTGCCTGTATCCAAATTTTCACTGCCTCCAAATACTTTTAGTTCATTCTCATTTCAAGATAACTTACATTACATTTTGACTATATAACAAAACACATCATGGCTTACATTTTAACCTAAAATTATACACACATTTTATAGAGTTTTAAACGATAGACCAAATGTTTTATTTAGCAAATTTAGAAATGTATCCCTGAGGATTTTCAAAATTCCACTAAAATCTATTATCAGAACAGTTGTTTTTATGAACCCAAACATGCCATATACAAAAAATTAAGTTCTAAGTAAAACCGATATCTGTAAAATGTATTGCTACTGATTTGATACAAAAACTCAAATCAAGTCAGTACCTGTCTTCCTGTGGGATTCTGTTCATCAAAGCGCACACTTATGTTGGTCTTGAAGTCTCCATCTTGGCTGAGCTCAATATTATATCCCTGGTTCACTCCATTCAGCTGTATTGATGGAGGAGGATCCCACTCCACTCTATAGAGAGAAGAAAAGTAAACCGTTCCTATAAAACAGTTTTTACCTAACACAGCAGTGTACATATGTTCAAATCACCACGGAAATGAGTTTTTTTTTTTTTTTTTTAAATCAAACTGACCTAAACGCCAGCAGTGGCATGGATACCAAAAAATCTTTTGAGAAATTCAGATGACCAGTGTAATATTGATCTTATTACCAGAGTTCTGATTCTACCTGTCTCTAGCCTCTTAATGTCATAGTTGACACATAAGGTATTCACAAATGATCTTCACCACTGTCACTCTGCTGCTTTTCTGCATATGGTATCCTATTATCCTGTGTCATTTTACATTCATTCATTTCCCTTTCTACTGTCCTTCTCCAGGTTTCATTGGGTGGTCCTTTTTTTTTTCCCCCTATCTGCCGTCCATCGGAGAATTGTCCATGCCAAGATATCAAGAGATATTCTGCATACCTGTCCAAGCAATCTCCATCTTCTTCCTTTGATAATGTTATCAGTGATAAAACATTTTATTTTCCAGCTCAGTGCTCCATCTGTGATCTTGTTTGGTCAAAATATTAGCACGATTTTCCTTAAACATTTATTTAACAATTATTCTAGTTTATGTATAATTCCTTCTGCCATTTTCCAACACTTTCTTGCTAAGGTATATTGATGATGATTCTTTTATAGAAGGGGCTTCCATGAATCTTGCCTGGCAGAATTTTTTTTTCCTACTAAAAATATTGCAGTGGCAGTATTTTCATTTCTGATATAAATGATATTTTTTATTGACAGAAACAGTCTCTTATCAGCAAAAGAAGAGAACAGTCAAATAAATCAGAAAGCCACTAAAACCGACAAAAGACGATTACCATTTTATGGACAGGCAAGAGCAAGTTATTATTCTACGCCTTAGAACAGGACACAATCGACTTCACGCTGATTGAACTACAAAAGACAGTGAAGTTCATACTAGAGACAATATTGTAGATCTAGATAATTTATTTCAAGCAAATGAAAGGAGAAGAAAAAATTAACAGAAATAATTGACTCTGTGTGACAAACAATACTGTGAAGTTGTAAACAAAGTTTTCCTATTTCCTATTATGAACTGATAGGAACATTAACAATAATTTGCACTATTTATTACCTTGTACATTAGACCGGGCTGCAGCTTGAATAACAGGAAGACATAAGTACTGGTAATATCAAAGAAAAGAATAGTGCCGAAATGTTCAACAAAAGTCAAAGGTATTATTTTAGGACAAGTACAGAAATTGAATTATCTAGGCAAAGGGATAACATCTAACAGAAGATGTATCTCAGAGATAAAGAACAGGAGAGAACAAGCTAAAAGTGTATATTTTATCAAATGAAGAACATTTTATGCAATGGATCCATGACATCAGAGGTTAGGAAAAGAATTCTTGTATGTTATACAGAGCCAGTTTTAACATATGGCTAGGAATCCTAGACAACTTAAAAACCAGCCAAACTTTTCACTATATTTTTTAGTCATGTGAGAAGAAGGAAAGTGGAAACACATTGTGGAAACTGGAAAGATCTGTGGAAAGAGAGACAAGAGGAAGACAACTTGAGATGATTCTTGAGGGACATTGGGGGGAAAGGGGGGAGAGGGGGGTCATGGCATGAAGGGGTGCCAACATATTAGTGATTACTGATTAGTGATCAGTAAGGATTATCATCACAGAAACTCCAGACAGATCCATAGGTGCTCCGATCTCCTCCTCAAAAGCTCAAGTGTAAAATGACTGATGACACCTGTTCTGTGTTGGTTAATGAAACGTCTTGTCCCTTTAGTGAAATGTTCATTTATTGCATGTCCAGGCAGCACCCCTATGCCAATGAGCCTAGATATAGATACGGAGTGATGCCCTTTAGCATGCTCGTCGTCATGGTAAGCGCAGTGCATGCCATTGATATCGCTTCTGTCCAGTAATGGTCCAGCCATAGCAAAAGCAATGTCAGCAAGATGATATGTGAATGCCCATGCATTTCGCTTGCTCCGAATTACTGTTCCATCTGTGTAAGCTATAGCATCACTTTCATCTGTGTTTTCATCAATCAATATTCTGACTAAAGTGTCCACGTTGCCAACATAGGAACTGATAATGCTGCTGAAAATTATAGATTGTGAGAGGCATGATCACCCACACCAGTTGGCCAAGCACTTGATGATGATGATGATATTCCACTGTATCTCCTCTGGTACATTACTCCATTCAATGTTGATGTTAACTCTAAAGTGCCACACATGAAGATATAACCTGAACTATGCCATACAACAAACTGTGCACTGCACTGTTTGTATTGTCATTATTTAAATACTATAGAGTGTCTGAAATGTGCAGTATAATACTGAAATTACCTTATCACAGTTGATGTTGGTGACACCAAAGTGACATTCAGAGGAGGTGAATCAGGTCTACCCTGCAATGTTGACACAAAGAAATCAGAGCTGTTCACTCCAGGCCCTCTCTCATTGTAAGCAGCAATTTTGATTCTGTATCGCTTGTTATATGCCAGGTTGTCAATACTAGTTTCCCGGACATCTTTCCCACTGATGTTCTTGACCTTTTCTGTATCATCATTAAAGCCATCAATCTGGACAAGAAACAAACAAAAAAATGTAAAAGCTGTAAATCTTCCCTTTTCTTCTTTTGTTCACCGGATGTAAGCTCCTGTGGAAAGTCCTGTGTTCATCCATTGAGACTTTGGCTTTGTTTCAGAGCCTGAGTTTTGCGTATACATTTGTTTTACTGGCTTATTTGTGTGCAGTTGGTTGTTCCTTACCACTCGAGCAGATACAACCTCACTTTGAAGGAAGCCCCCAATTAGTCGACTCCTACGACATGCTTGTAGGGGAGGCAGAGGGTCTATTCTTGTTGTCCCCACAATCTGGCCCTGGAACCCACATGGGGGAAAAGCTGTATATGAATATCATCATCAGGTGGTTAGTAGGGATTATAATCACAGCAATTAGGACAGATCCACAGACGCTCAAAACTCCTTAAAAGCTCCACAAGTGTACAATGACCGATGACACCTGTTCTGTGTTGATTAAACCAAAGTCTTGTGCCCTATGTGAAAAGTTCAGTATACAGAGTCATGCCTTTTGCCGTATTCATCTTCACTGTAAGTCCTGCATATGGTACTGACAACTGCTTCTGGTCAGTACCAGACCAGCTATAGCAACTGCAGTTTCTGCAAGATAATCTGCATGCCGTTAGCTAGAACACCAGTATAACCCAGCACAAAGATGAAAGTTAGGCCAGCCATTTGGTAAGCGCTTAGTGATACAATCCATTCTTGTCTGTTAAACCCAGTCTGGATTTTTCAAGCATATGCATCAAGTCATGTGCATAAATTCTTGAGTACCCACCCAGCCGTGCTAACGCCCTTGTTACAACTAGTTTCCACTATGAGGCTGCTAGTTGTTCATCATAAAGTGCCTTGACATATGGCACAGGTAGCAAAAGTATGTTACTGTTTATCAACTCTTGTGCTGATATCACTTCTTGCCACAAAATAAAACAGTCCAGTATTTACTTTCTACTTGCCTTCTATGACTAAAGACATTTCAATTGTCCCCACAGTAAATCTATTAGCATACAACAACTAACAGTGCAGAACTGATTTAATGACAAGCATTCTCACACAATTGATTCTCTGCTCCTCACTGGCCACACCGATCTTCAACCTGGATGCCCACATTCTGACTATCAATGCTGATCAATTCAGTTGAAACTCCTAATTTCAGCCTGGCTCACTAAAAATGTTAATGATGTTGACTCACTTCACTAACTGGATCTTTGATATAGTGGCTGTACCAACATGCCTTCTGCTCTTTCATTGCTCATAAAAACCCTGCATATTCTCCTATTAAAATACTGATGATGTCGATAAACAGGAGGACTTCAATGAGCTGCTCTTTGCCGACGATCAATGCATATTTCACAGTGATAGTAAACAGCTGCAAGACCACATAAACCTACTACACGACAGTTGCCTCAAGCATCATATGAAGATCAATACTGAAAAGACAGAAGTCATGAGCATAAGTAGAGAGCAACAGACCATCGACATAAAGATTCTAGATCACAGCCTAAAACAAGTGCAAGAATTTAAATACTTGGGAAGTATCTTTACATCCAATGGTAAAATAGACAGAGAGATCGAAGCAAGAATCCAACAAGCCAACAATGTCGCATACCAGCTTGCCCCAATTTTAAAACACCCTGCTGTCCCAGCTGAGATAAAAAGACAAATTATAAATACAATCTTTATACCGACATTAGGTTATCAATGTCAGACTTGGACATTAACAAAAGAACACGAGAGAAGACTAACCACCTGTGAAATGAGATGTTTGAGAATGGCTGCGAATAAAACCAGAAGAGATCGAGTGAGAAACGATGTGATTACAAGAACTATTGGAACCATACGCATCATTAAATTTATTGAGAAGCAAAGAATGAAATGGTTTGGTCACCTAATGAGAATGGAACCAACGATGCCAGCATCAAGAGCATACAACATGAAAATCGAAACACCAAGAGGCAGGGGAAGACCAAGAAGAAGATGGATTGAAGGAGTCACGGACAACTTGAGACTTCATAACATCACGACATATGAAGCGACTGAGCGCGCCCTGGCTCGGTTGCCGATCATCTGATAGACTGCGACGCCTAGCGGCACAAGCAGATTTTGACAAAAGAAGAAGAAAATACTGATAACTTTTCAGATTTTGGCCTCTGCAAGGAAACAGTCCAATGCCTGTCCAAGAAAACTGCAAATTCTAAGATAGCCCGATTTATTACAATGACTCATTTACTAGATGTATTTTTATCTTGGAAACTCCTTGCTGGCTACAGAGGAATGGGGACAGAGCATGTGTGCTGTATCATCCATTCTTGATTCTTTCATCCTTACCTTGTAAAAGATCATAAAGCCTAGTAGATCTCCATTCCAGGATGTCTCCGGAGGTGGCTCCCATTTGACAACAATGGCTCTTTCCTGTCTTGGGTCACAGAATAAATTCAAGGGAGCTGCACTGGGAGCTGTTGAGAAGAGAAAGAAACAATTACTGTATTTCCTCCTTAAGCGTAAGATGCACTTAGTTTATAAAAATAAAGGGTCTAAAAACAGTGCACATCTTATACAATGGTAGTAAATTTTTACCAAATGATTTGTTAAAAAATAAATTGTACACTGCCTAATTTGGGAAAGCCAGTTCGTTGGGGCAGTGTTTGGGGGCGGTAGGGGACATAAAATGGGGAGGGGGGTTCAAAATTAAAATTTCTTTTCTGCTTGTTTTTACGCTCCTTGTTTCACACTTGTTACATAAGGAATTTCTGTGTGCACTAAGATTCAACCACATGATATTAGCATTAATAAACCCTTTCAGTTGCCATGAGAGATGGAAAAGTCTTCTGGAGACAATGTGACAACAAGAAGCAGTGGGAAGAAACCAACTTTAGGAGAAGTTTATACCTGGGAGCAAAGATATTGGGATAATGTGAAGACTTTCCCATATGAGTTCCAGGGCTCTATTATAGGGAAAACAAGAATAGACCCACCGCCTACCCAAAAGCATGTCGTAAGAGTCGACTAATTGGGAGCTTTCTTCAAAGTCGGAGTGCATCTGCCTGAGAGGCAAGGAACCAGCAGTCTGCATACAAATGAGTCAGATCTGTAAAATGGATACACATGCAACACTCAGGCTCTGGAATAGAACTGCAGTCCAGAAGTGGACGAACAACCAGAACTTTCCGCCGGAGTTCACAGCTGGTGAACGTGAAGAAGAAGAATGTGAAGACTGAGATCATTGTGAAGTAATTCAAGAAGTCTGGCATTTCAAATGCCACAGATGGAACTGACTGGAGACAATATATAAAGACAGGGGTTCATCATCAGACACAGACAAGGACAAGCTATAAAGAACTATTATATGGATGAAAGTTTTGACAGTAATGATGGGGTTTCTATATTTTAAGATGAATAAAATGTGAAGTTTAATAACTTATTGTAATCATATTATTATTTTTTACAACTTCTGAACCTAAAATTAAGATGTGTCTCATAAATGGGATTGATTTATATTTAGGGAAAGATGGTATATCATTTATGTAACTGTGTCAGCTATTTTAAGATAACAATGTCAGAATACTGTAAAGAAGCATTTATTTCTACTCATGTAATTTAGTCATTTAAAATCGTTTTTACATCAAATTTAGGAGAATCAGTTATTTGTTTTAATTAAATAACAAAATTTCTCTGATACAGCATTAGGAAAATGCTTATGGCACAGACACAAAAAGTATATTTATACAGGAGAATTACTTTGCAAGGTACAGTTGCTATTAGTGATTTTTTTTTTTTTATGGAATTCAATTAATATTTCATTTTTTCAGGTAATTAACATTAACAGTCACCCAGAAAAAGCCAGTTTCCTATTTTTACAGGTTTTATGACCTGATTTTTTTTTGGCAGTGGCCAATATGCCTATATGACAGCTTTGGTACTGGTTGCATTTGCATAGTGTGTAATGGTGATGAGTAAGATTATATTTACAAATTAGTTTCTGGAGATATTTAGGGATCTAAAAAAAAAAATTTTGTTTTTAAACTTATGGCATCACTTTGCTCATTATAACTGTGTCAACAAAACCACAGTTTTTTTGGTCAAAGGAAAAGAAAGCAGTCATTTCTTTTTAGTGATTGCTTCCCTTTATATATAAAAACAATCTTTACACAAAATAATAAGTAAATATTAAAAATCAACCTTTTTAGTAACTTGTTGGTGATGATGCAATAGCTAGTGGGCTTGCTTGTATGCTGCTCTGTGGTCATAGGTTTCAACCCCTGGATATTTTTTTTTAAACTGACCAAGATTCTTAATTTCTTTTGCTTCTTCTTTTTTGTCCCCAGTTTCTTAGGGTAAAGTTTCAAAGAATTATAATAATGCGTATCATTTTTATAAATGATAAAAAAGGTTAATTTTCACTCTCATAATATAAGATCTTTTCTGAAATCCCTTTATTTCAACTCCTGGCCTGATCATGAATGTTCCTGCTCATTCCATTCCAGAAGCGTCTTTTTTTGAGTTCTACTTTTCAACTGTACACTTGTCTGTATTGCTTGATCTGTGCAAACTTGTTATTTAGGGTTGTCCTTGGTATACCCAATTCTCTTTTCTTTAGCACTTTGCCCTCCAGACTCTCTTTGTGCCGGGGAAGACATGCCATAAATGTCTGTACATTTTAAAACTTTTAAGAAATCTTTTTTTCAAAACTTTAAGAAATCTTTATTCTGAAATAATTTCAAGAGTTTGCTTATTTTAATGGAGCATGAACAGAGATATTCCGGTGCAAGAATAAGTAACCTTTGACCAGAAGCCACTAATCAAAACAAGACACACACAAACATACCCCCTTCCCTTTACACATATACAGAAGCCAGAAGGCACTAATCAAAACAAACAAAACACAACAAAACCCTCAAAAATATGCTTCCAATTTACACATATACAGAAGAAAACTGAAAATATTAAGGAAATATCTTACGCTGAGCTGGCATTTTGATGGCTTCTCCAACAGGTGCTGCTTCACTGGGTAGACTGGGACCAACTCTGTTGACAGCAATCACTCGGAAACGATAAAGCCTGGATGGCAGTAAGTTAGTGATCACTGCTGAACGGAGATTGGCATTCACATTGCTGCTGACTGTTTCCCAAGGGATGTCTATGCTAGAGCCAGCTGGGTAAAAAAATATGTTCAATATATCATAAACAGTCAATTGAATACAAAGTATACTAAGCCTTAAACATCTGATTAAACTAACTAGTCTATCTTGTAACCTCAAGATCACCATATATAAAACACTGATAAGACCAATTGTCCTATTTGCCATGATATCTGGAATACAAATTATTTAGAAGAAAAAAAGTCTTATAAACTTTTGTGTATATTTATGTCAAATCTTTGGACTCAACAAAGATGCAAGTGATGATGAATTGAGAGTAAGAAGCAACAATGAAATTTATAATCTGTTTTAATTACTAGTAACTACTGGCATTATTAGGGCCAACAGACAGCAATAGTTGGGACATATAGAGAGAACTGGAGATAACAGATACAAAAACTGTTTAATGGGAGTAGACTATAAGGCAAACCAAGAAGGAAAAAAAGTGCTTTTATGATCTTTGTGACTGGCTTTCTCTTTTTAGTTGGTGACTCCAAATGTTTGCAGATCTGCATGAATATTATCTTTTGTAGATCTGCTTGAATATTATCTTTTGTAGATCTGCTTGAATATTATCTTTTGTAGATCTGCTTGAATATTATCTTTTGTAGATCTGCTTGAATATTATCTTTTGTAGATCTGCTTGAATATTATCTTTTGTAGATCTGCTTGAATATTATCTTTTGTAGATCTGCTTGAATATTATCTTTTGTAGATCTGCTTGAATATTATCTTTTGTAGATCTGCTTGAATATTATCTTTTGTAGATCTGCTTGAATATTATCTTTTGCCACAATCTTCTTGGTCTGTCTCAGGTCTACTCCTATTAAATTTTCATGTGCCTCAGTTACCTGACTTTTTTTTTCTAAATGCCCCAGCTATTGCAGTCTATAAGTCCTCACGATACCAGTAATTAGTGGTGACTTGAACCAGATGCTGAATTTCACTCTGCCTTTGATGAATACAAATCTCTGTTTTATATTGTCTTTCAACTCCCAGTACAACATAGCCACCTTATTCAAGCACTCACCAACTCACTCAAGCCCTAAACCAACTCTTTCAAGCCCTCAGTCAAATAATTTAAGCCCTCAGTCAACTCACTAAAGCTCTCAATCCACTCATTTAAGCCATCACCAACTCAATTCAAGCCCTCAGTCAACTCATTCAAGCCCTCAACCAACTCATTCAAGCCCTTAATCAATTCTTTCAAGCCCTAAATCAACTCTTTCAAGCCCTCAGTCAACTCATTCAAGCACTCAGCCAACTCATTCAAGCCCTCAAACAACTCATTCAAGCCCTCAAACAACTCATTCAAGCCCTCAATCAGAGAGAGATTTTACATCTTCCTCAATCAACTCTTTCAAGTCCTCAGTCAAATCACTGAAGCACTCAACCAACTCACTGAAGCCATCAATCCACTCATTCAAGCCATCACCAACTCAATTCAAGCCCTCAGTCAACTTATTCAAGCCCTCAACTAACTCATTCAAGCTCTAAATCAACTCCTTCAAACCCTCAGCCAACTCCTTCAAACCCTCAACCAACTCATTCAAGCCCTCAACTAGCTCATTCAAACCCTCAACCAACTCATTCAAGCCCTCAGTCAGCTCATTCATGCCCCTTGTAGACTTGTTCATGATTGGCTGGATTATGTTAGAGATTTCTGTGGAATATGGTAACAGATCTCAATGCCAGCCCACCCTAGTCAAGTCCCCATGACATGCTTAGTAAATCTTCATCATCTGAAAAATAATAATGGGTTCATGCATCTTAGTTATAAACCTTAAAGGTTGAGCAAGATATTGATACAAACACTACTACTCTGACATAAAAATTACATCAACACTTACATGATGTCTCCCGTCTGCTCTCTATGACAAACTTAATTATAGGAGAATCTCCATCATAGGGAAGTGTCCAGTTTATCAAGATACTGTTTGGAATTTGATCATACAAAATCACACTTGTGACTAATGGCTTGGATGGAATATCTGCAATCAAAACATTTTATTTAAAAGTGAATGGATTATACAAGACTTGTTTTTAATTATCAAGTATGGAAGGTAATGACAGATTATCATTTTATATCATTAACTCCACCAGACCGCTTTACCACTTTTCCGGTAATTTCCTAATTTGCCGCTAAAGCGCTGTACCTAATTTTTGGTACTTTGCATACTACATGATAAAATATGTCACAAACTAAAAATAACCTCGTGGTTAGTCAACTCTGAAAATTCACAATGAAACAAGCGGCTCATGAACCATGCACTTGACAGGAAAGTGAAGTAGGTCTAGGCTTTTCACAGTCCACCAGGTGATCGATACTATGGTTGATTCAGACTCTGAGGAGTCAGAATTTCATGAAGAATAAGTTCCCAGTTGAAGTGACACATTCAGTGAGAGCTGGAATGATGAGGAGAATCTTGAAAATTATAGATTTAAAATTAGATTGATAGTAAGAGAATGTGGCATGTCCCTCAAACATCAATATCTGGTGCTCACTTTGTGAAACAAGGCTGATCCAGCTGGGTGGATTGGCACACAAAGGTGGAATATTGGTGCTAGATGAAAGGTAAATGTATTTTCTACAATGTCTCTAAGCTTTATCTTATTCTTGACACTTGTTTGCATGTAACTAATATTTTTGTATGTTATGTTGGTTTTTTTCATGTTGATCCCAGGAGCTCAGATATAGGGGACAGTTAGGTTCAGGGCCTCAGGTCTGGTAGGGTTAAGATATGCACAAAAGCAAAGACTGTTAAGTCATATCTACTAGGTTATGGCAGGATTAAATCGGGTTACCAGATCTCCCCCCCCCCCCCCCCCCCACCCAGTGTTTTCTTTTTCCCGGCAAAATATCTGCTACTCATTTTATGAGTTCTGCTGTTAAAATAAATACTTTCCCTGGCACATATAGTTCTACTTTGTGGTCTTTTTTGGGAATTTAATTTTACTAAGCCAACACTGACTCACTGAAAGTTTGTTTGATACAATTTATACATATTGTTTTTGTTCTTTCAGAATCTTATGGAACACTGCATGTCTTCTTCTTTTCTCTACTCCTGGAATGCCTCACAGTGGCATAAATCTGTTGAACTAGTGTTCAACTGAGAAGGGTTACTCTATAAGTAAGGCCAGTGTGGAATTTTCTCCTTACCCTATGCAAAAGTATTATCTCCAAGAGGACTGTGTTGCAGAACTCTCTAACCCTATATTCTTACAGACCAGATTGGATTAATAGTGATGCTGTCACTATCATGCCAATAATTGCTACTACACAAGACATTTCCGGGCAGAAATTTTAGGTTGGGTTTTGGAAGCCCAGTCTGCTTGTTAAATCTGCTTTGGCAGGGATTCAGACTTATGGTCAATAGGCAAGCGTGACAGCCACGGCACTGCCACAGTTACCAAGCCTTAGGTAGTGTAGATAAAGAGGTCAAGCTGTTTGCCTTGTGCTCTGAGGGTCATGGGTTCATTTCACATGCGCAATTGTTAGAGATCCCTGAGGGCTGTAGTTATGAAGCTCATACTCTGTACAATTCTTTCTGTAGGTGTTTAGCCATTCCGTAGAGAGAGCCTGCCCAGTGTATTGGAAAATGGACCAGATTTATCTCAAGTTGTGTATCCTTTACAGGATGTTGCAGAACCAACCCCCAACATTTTTTGGCTCTTTGTGATTTCACTAGACAATTTTATGTTCAGCACTTCCATGATGAGTTTCTTGGGATAGTAATGTGGTAGTCTCCCGTTGCTTTCCACATCTGAACATAAAGGAAGATAGGCTAATAAACAGCATCCTGTCTCAGAAGCTGAAATATTTCGGTGATTTCAAGTGCCACGACGGATTGGAAAAAATTAAAAAAGAAGACATGGTACCAGGAAGGAGGGGCAGGGGCCAACTGACACGAAGATGGGCACAGGATAGAAGTGACTACTTGAGTATGAAAGTGCATGAGGCGGGAGAGCTGGCGAGAGACCAAGTTTCTTTCAGGCAGACCGTGATGAGAGCGACATTCTGCAAAGGACCTGCTACATGATGATGATGAGTTGACCACTGCCCTGAATGGTCGGCTCTTGATACCACTTTGCAACCAACAAAAAGGGTTTGCTGCCAAATCATCTGCAGCTGGGATCGAACTTGGCACCTTAGAATTACAAAGCAGACTTGCAATGCCAACCAACAGACCAGACATGCACATAATCAATGAGGTATCAAGAATTATTAGTCCACACATCTCTTTAATTTTTCTGTTTTGGAGGTTGTGCAATTTAGATTTACCCAGTGTGCTTTAATAATAATAATAAAATAACTAATAACTGCAAGTCTGATTATTATCACTATCAACATCCTGTGCCTTGCTGAAAAAAGCTGTCAATAATCTTTTGTTGCTTTCCTCTGTCTCTCCTCTATCTATTTTTTCACAAATCTTTCCAGTGGTCATGATATGTTCTGGTTTCCCTGTTCTTATAACATGACCCAAAAAATGATAGCCTTCTCCTTCTAATGTTTGTGATGTCTTCAGACCCTCATGTATTTAAAAACATCTAGGCCATTCATTCTGGCTGTCCAAGGAATTTTAAGCATTCTTATGATTAATATAATACATTTAAAAACCAGTAAATAATGTAAATACATGCTTCATAATAAGTATTTATTTTAACCATAAACTATACATATAAAAATAAAATCCTTTTGGTTTCCAATACTGAACTAATTCTAAAGAAGTCACCTTAAAACTTACCTGTGACACTCAGAATTGCAATCCTTTGATCACTACCACCAGCAGACGTGACCAAACACTCGTACTTGCCACTGTGTTTGCCCAACACGCCACTAATTCCAAGAGAGCCATTTGCGTATATCTGAACACCATCAACACCAGAGGTGACATTCTAGTAAAATAAGTTATTATCATTAAAACCAAAGTGTACCGTGGCGAGGAGTTCATTGACAAAATTAAAGAACAAATCTACAAATTGTATCATCTGCTGATCTACACTATCAGAGAATTCAAATTCAAAACAAGTCTTAAGTTATTTATCTGTTAGGAGAGAGAGAGAGAGAGAGAGAGAGAGAGAGAGAGAGAGAGAGAGAGAGAGAGAGAGAGAGAGAGAGAGAGAGAGAGAGAGAGAAAGAGAGAGAGAGGGGGGGAGGCATGCAGGCAGGCAGACAGACAGACAGACAGAGAGGGCATGCATGTGTTTGTGTGTGAGAGGGAGAGAGAGAAATGTTGTGATGCTACACAAAGTACTTGTGGGATTCATTAAATGCACAAAGTTAAAGAGCTAAAACCAGTCCAGATTCATTTTAGAAAAAAATAAAAATAATTTTTGCCGTACAGAAAATTCAAAATATGTGCCAACATTTAAAAATCTGGCAACCTCCTAAGGTGAGGAGTGATGGATTTGTGAAAAATACCAGTTTAAAAGCCAGTGTCATATGTTTCACAAATGATTCACACAGACACATTGCTTTTACTTTTTTGTTTTTGTATTTAATAGCTTTTATACTTTCTCTGTGATCAATAATACATGATGTTTACATTTTACACCACCTCTTTTCATTGCCAAATCCATAATAGGACTTTATCAGCAAATAAATGAGAAAGAATAAGTAGAAATGCCTGTAAGCATGTGCAAGCAAAATCCAACAGTTGATTCTAGAGTAAAGCACCATCAAAACATAAATGGTGCCTCCAGAATCAGTCACAGGCCAACACAGTAAATCTGAAAATATGCTCCAAAATTTCAATTGGGAATCTGAAAGAACTGGAGTATCGATGGGCAGATTTTTCGCTGTTAACCAGGGTCTGATAGTACTAGCATAAAGTATATAGAATTATATTAAATGCCTCTCAGCATTAGAAAACTTTTTATATTACTAGGTTACGTACTAGCCACCTGCCGAGAGCACCATACAAAGCAGCAAAAACTCTATAGCTCAGGTAATAATTCCCAGGGATCGTTGTTAAAAACTGTGCAGCTGTGAAATAAACCCAAAACTTTCAGAACCTGAGGCAAATGCCTTGACCATTTTGCCATGAAGACCCCCAACAAAAATACTCGTCAATTATAACGGATGAAGCAAATATTATGCAGTATATTTATGAATGAATGCTCGCTGAAGATATAAAGTTAGAGATGAAACAACCTTTATAACCATGGGTGAATAATATAAAATTGTGTCCAGCAAACAGGGATTATGAGAGGAACAAAATTTACATCAGTCCACACCTCAAACATATGCTATGGGAGACATCCATGGATACTCACGTACAGAGATAAACATAACAAATTAGTGTAGTAATGTCGTTACTGGTTTTAGCATGCCCTGTTTAAAACTTAACAATTAAGACTGAATTGTTCTACTTGGCTCTTGGGAATTTCAAGAAAGAGTCAGCAAGATTTGTGTCCTTTGTTGTTTACTTCGTTCCATCATATCAATATAACTGGTTCTTTCATTCTACAGTGGGTGACTGTGACCAGAAATCCACTCAAAATTTTTACTCAAGCAAATTATCAGCTAGGAATCGTCGTGGTGTAGAGGAAGGTCAATGGATCCTAGCGGAGCAGGACTTTTTAATTTTTTTTTTTAAATAATAAAAATGACTTTGGCTCCCAGGTAGACCTAGCATTAAATGGGTACCAGGTAGAGTCCTGGGATGTAAAGGTAGCTGGCATGATGCTGACCGGATCACCCACCAAGTCTATCAAATATAGGTCTAGCCCTATATGCCCAATACACCTGAGGGCATGGGGGAGAAATTATCATCTCAATTAGGTGTTTAAAACTGAAATATGGTTGGGAGAATCAAGTGTTTTATAGCATAATGCTTAGTCTCTCTCCATAAACTGCTAGCTGCCTGCAAAAGCATCACATAAAGCATGAATTCCATAGCTCTAGTGACAATAACCAGAGGTAATCATAATATCTGCACTCATGAGCCAAACAACACAGTCCGTGAAATGACCCATGACCTCTAGAGCATGAAGCAAACAGCTTGTCCACTTCATCATAGGGATCCCCCAGTTAGCTGTTTTTGAGGGCTGCATCCTGAATGTAAATTTGCATGTTTACTATTATAACTAAAATACTGAAGATGATAAAGATGATCATCTGAAATGTATTTTTAATTTCAAGACTGTAAATCTAAGAGCATTTTTATTTTAAGGCAGACACAATCATTACCTGTTTCTGAGGATCAGCTGCTGGATAGAAATACCATGTCCATAAGGGAATCACAGATTCATCTTTACAAACACCACAATCCAAGATGACATCAGTGGATAGAACCCGTGACATATTTTGTGGAGGTTTACAGATTTGTGTTTTAACTGCAATAGAAATATCAGTTAGCTATTTACTGATCATTCAAGAGACATGAGACTCTTTGTTCTCAAAACCATACATTTCATAATGTATATCAGAGGAGTGGTCCTTAAACTGGGAGAAGCTTAAAGTTTGGACATTCATGTACTGGGAGCAAAGCTTAAAGTTTAGATATTCATGTAAGTTGTTAAATGCTCCTAACAGACAAAGTCAGATAACAGATGAACTTAAAATACCATGAAACAGACAACTGCTTAGACTACGGCTTGGATCGGGCTGCTGTACTATACAGTAAGAGACCAGTAATCTAAGACAGAAATACAGTAATATAGAGAGAGCCTTATTTGCTGAGTGTGGGAAATATGAAAACCAAAGCAATCCATTCTTCTTCTTCACTTCCTCTTTTACCGCTGTGGGTGTCGAGGGAGATATGAGGTTCTGTTTCTAGCTCTTCTGGCCGACTTGACCATAGGCACATCATGCTGTTGTAGAGTTTCTCTGATGTTATAGTTCCATCTTGTTCTTGGTCTACCTCATGCTCTACGTCCTTCTTCTCTTTCCATGTATGCTTTGTATGGTGTCACAAGGCATTCTCTCTAAGTGGGCAATCCATTAACTGACTATAATCTCTGTAAATTACCTAGACAAGTGGAAACTTGTTGCACATAAACAGCCCCAAAGAGCTGCAGGGCAAGGTCAAGCAATTTATTACTAGAACTAAAATCCCAGGAGGGTCAAGAATGCCATACCATTTTGAAAAAGGTTTCCCTAAAAATAAAATCGAGGACAATAATCAACTATTTCACTAAGGGAATAATAAATCTAACATGTTAATGATACAGTCTAAGTAAGATTATCTAATTATTCATAGTACAGTGTTTATCATAATTACAACCCAAAACAAAGCAAAATGACTGGTTTTCTAACTAAAAAAAAAAAAAAAACGAGCATAGGGTTTTGACCTACAGAGCATCATTATAGATGGTTGCTACACATAAAAAAAGATATATTATGCAAATAAGTCACATGATCATGCCGGCCATCTTGAATTTGTTTTGACTATTTATGGAAATTTCAGATGTTCTAAAACCATCATCTTTTTCCAGTTCTTAGTGAATTTGTTCAATAACATTTTGGGAACATGGTTGAAGATGGATAAAATTAGCTAAATAGGAGCACATTTGTAATTACTGACCAAATATTTCAATATGAAAGAGAATAAAAATGTGAATAAAGTGATTTTTTTCTCGTTTATTGTGTTTATTTGTCATGTTGCAATGAGCATTTGTGATTGCTTGATTATAATTTGGTCACCAAGGGATAAGACCGGAAATTCACAGATCTGTGAAGTTGGTCAGCAAAGTGTTAAAGGTCTTAGCTGGATCTAATGTGGTCTTTGCTAATAAATTTCACACACTTAACCTGTTACTTTATAGATAACAAACATGGGGGGGGGGGGGGGGGGGGGGGGGGGGGGGGGGGGTTAGGGGAACATATTTATATATACACAGAACTTTCTTCACTAGACCATCAAATTTTCAGATATTTCAGGAACTGAGGGAGGGGGGGGGGGCAGAAAAGGAAGAAAATAAAAACTGGGGTGGGGGGGGGGTGGTGGTGGGGGTGGTGTGTGTTGTGTGTGTGTGAACTCACTAATCACATTCAGGCTGGCATTTGCTGATGCAGCTCCTCTGATATTTACAGCATTACAGGAGTACAACCCAGAGTCTGCCTTCTCTACTGAGCCAATCAGAAGCTGTTCTTGTGTTTTAAAAATGCGACCACCAACTGTGACATTAACACCATCTGGATGCAGAAAACAAAAGGTATAATTTTATCAAATTACAACATCTTCACTGAGTATTTACTTAATTAAATTTAAGATTTTTAAATGTAAATGCTTATGGAGTATGATGAGGACTGGAGTATGATGAGGACTGGAGTATGATGAGGACTGGACTATGATGAGGACTGGAGTATGATGAGGACTGGACTATGATGAGGACTGGAGTATGATGAGGACTGGAGTATGATGAGGACTGGAGTATGATGAGGACTGGACTATGATGAGGACTGGTATGTGATGATGAGGACTGGACTGGAGTATGATATGATGATGAGGACTGGAGTATGATGAGGACTGGAGTATGATGAGGACTGGAGTATGATGAGGACTGGAGTATGATGAGGACTGGTGTATGATGGAGAATGATGAGGACTGGAGTATGATGAGGACTGGATGAGGACTGGAGTATGAGGACTGGAGTTGATGAGGATGAGAATAACGGAGACATGGACTGGACAAAAGAAGACATTGTGAAGAATGTTTGAAATAACAGTGTAAGAAACAAGGAATTAGGTGCAGATCAGGCAAGGAGAGGAAGAGAATGATGAGCTTATAATCAGTGTGCTATAGGAACAGTTAGCATCTACACATGAAGGTATTTGCTGCAGGAGACAGAGCACCAATGGGTATGCCTGGTGTAATATAATATCAGTTTCTAAAATCAGTAAATCAGATGAGAACAGATAGCATATAAGTATGTTCCTAGTTCTGTTACGTCAGTTCTTGACTTTACCTCAACTCAGTTGTATTTTAAAGAAGTCAGTGCTGCTTACACTAAATTTATTGCCTGGTTGTTTAAACTTTCTGCACATATCTTTTTCTGCCTTCCTTAGTATCTTTTACCTGGTATTTTTTACATACAAGGCTTCTTCGCATACTACTTTATACTACACCTTGAATGCTCATCTAATAATGTTAATATTACTTTTAGAGAAAAACCTAAAAGAAATCAAGTCAAAGATTTATCTAATTATTCTTTACTACTAAGTTTATCCTTCCTATTTGTTGTGACAGAGGAGGAATATTCTTCTTCACAATCAGGGGTTAATTCAAGTTGTTTGTCCACTTCTAGAATTTGGTCTGGTTCCAGAACTTTAGCCCTGTGTGCACATACATTTTACACACTTCTTTGTGTGCAGACTGTTGGTTCATCACCTCACAGGCACATGCACTCAGACTTCAAAGGACACACTCCTAATTAGCCTTTTATGACATGCTTGTTAAGGGGTGGTGTGTTTATTCTTCTTTCTCCCACAATGGGGCCCCAGAACTCACATAAGAAGCAGGCAATAAAAGGAAATGGGACACACACACACACACACACACACACACACACACACACACGAGAGAGAGAGAGAGAGAGAGAGAGAGAGAGAGAGGGAGGGAGGGAGGGAGGGGAGGGAGGGAGGGAGGGAGGGAGGGAGGGAGGGAGGGAGGGAGGGAGGGAGGGAGGGAGGGAGGGAGGGGAGGGAGGGAGGGAGGGAGGAGGGAGAGAGAGAGAGAGAGAGAGAGAGAGAGAGAGAGAGAGAGAGAGAGAGAGAGAGAGAGAGAGAGAGAGAGAGAGAGAAGAGAGAGAGAAAGAGAGAGAGAAAGAGAGAGAAAGAAACACTTCACCTTTTTTCCAAAAGACTTCTGGTTGAGGTCCACCAGTGACTTTACACGTGAAGCTAGTGTCCTCATGTTGGATCACAGTGGCATTCTTCGGGGCCTCTATAATTGCTGGTGTAGCACCTGGGTAAAGAAGACAAGAAAATTCAACATTCAAAACCTGATATAAAACATATTACATTTTTTTCTTAATGTTTACCAGCTGTAAACTCTGGCAGAACGTTCTGGTTGTTTGTCCACTACTGGACTTTGGCATTGTTCCAGATAATGATTTTTTCATACACACCTGTTTTACAGATCTAGATAATTTGTATGCAGACCGTTGATTCCTTGTCTCTCAGGCAAATGTGCTCTAACTGTGAAAGAAACACCCCTAATTAGTTGCCCTTTATGATTTGCTTGTTAGGGAACAGTGGGTGTATTCTTGGATGCAAACATCAATTATGAAAACCAGCTTTGAATATGTAAATACTGCATAAGTGCACACTACTTTGAAAGTAATCACTAATCTGTAAATTTTCAGTACAGTTCACAGCACAATGCCATCATGGACACAAGAGAACAAACAATCCTTCCACATCAAATCCACAGCTCACAGTGTCACACACAGGCACTTAGCTCAGTAGTTGGGTGAAGGAACCTTTCAATTACTGGTCCAGACATGGGAAATCTGCCTGTGCAAACCCTGGCTAGAAACAAATAACTTTTCAGTGCATCAGTGGTAAGCTGGCATTCTGTTATACTGGAATGGAAGTCCCTTGAACTAGAAACATACAAGTTAAGTGATGGGAAATAAGACCAATTACATGCAACCACAGCCTATTGGGACTATGGAGCTACATCTATCTTTTTGGTGGTGGAATGTGAGAAATAAAATGATGGTTCTAAACCAGTCATTTCTACCTTCCCTGAGAAATCTCAGGTGCTCTTTCTTTAAAAGACTGAGTAGATCCCAGAGCTGCACTGATCAGAAAAAGAGAAAAAAAAGAACATGCTGCCACTACTGGAAACTGAACTAGGAGCTACTCTGTTGATTACAATGAGAATTAATCCTTGTACAACCAAAGTTTTCTAGCTTTACAAACATCCAAGTAGTAAAACAATGAACCTACTATTGACCAAGAGCCATGTGTATGTGGCACTTTCTCCTGCTTCATTAACAGCAAAACACTGGTAGACTCCTGAATCTGGCGAGTCCACACTTTCAATTGACAAGGTGTTGTTCCCATCAATGTGGTACCTGCTGATTAGAATCAATACTGTAAAACACCAGTAACAATTACAAACTCATCTCTTCTGTGACCTTCTTTTTATCTTAAATGTATCTGTTACTTTTCTCTTATGAAGAATGCAAAAACAGATCATTATGGTCTGAGGAAAATGGGGCTGCAAGAAGTTACCAGGGGATCTGGCTGATGCTCAACACTCAAGGTAAGGGTGAGATGAGTATACTATTAGACAGCTACTGGTTGTCCTCACACTTGTATCGCTGCCTACCTCTTGCTCTTTTGCCTTCAACCTTTTCCTCCACTATGGTTTTTAAAAGCATGTTATGTCTTTTAAAGTGGCTAAAGTATTGTTATTGTCTCTTTTTTTATTACTTTCAGTAGTTCTCTTTTCATTTGTAGTCTTTCCAGAAAGTGCTGCGATGTCAACTCTCAATTTAACATTCTTAGAAAGAATATGTCTTTATATCAGTATGTTGCCTTTGTTAGCACCTCTGGCTTAGAGGGTTACCATTGCAGTTTTATAATTTCAACAAACTAGAATTCACTTACTCAGCTGCATGCAATTTGGTGGCAGATGACTTTGCATTCAGTCTGGCAACAATATAAGTGTTGAACAGTTCAGAAAGTAATGGTAAACTACTAAACATAAAATTCTCCAAGTAAATGTCATCAGCAGTGTTTAACAAATGCTGGGGCAGTGTGTGATGCCCTGTAGAAAATATCTAACCAGCTATACATGTTGTCTTTTTACAAGAGTAAATGATCGTTGCAGCTAAAGTTGTATATGGTATGGTCTAGCCAATCCCACACTTACCTTCCTTAGTCAGTTTTTATGACATGCAAAACTGATTACATGTTCTTTGCTTCCACTAAAGACTCCAATAACACAGGGGTGTTATGTGTAGTTTATATCATTGACAAAAATACAGAAATCTAAACAACTAAAGCACAAACATATCTGATATCTTGTACACACACAAAAATCAACAAAACTGACCAGCATACACAAACATCAATTAAATGGGCCCACAAAAAAACATACAGGAAAATTTAATTTTAAAAAAAAAGACAAATACTTGCCTAGTATTGTTTGAGCTCATTAATTCCTTGCCATTGAAATACCAGTTTATTTCAGGCTGTGGAGAACCCTGGGCAGCACAGGGTAAGGCAACAGTTTCCTGGTAATCTTTCAGCAGACGTGCAGGTACTTGTGATACGACTGGCGGAACTGGAAATTTAAAGACAAATTCAGTTATACATTCATTAAACTTTAGAAAATTAACTTTGACATTCTAATGAGTGAAAATTTTAGATAGGGTAGTTTACAGGAAACAGACGATTTTTGAATTCATTCTGTTTTTCTCAAAGATGTGAAGATGTTTTTAAAAAGCTTTCCCAAGTATTCTTAATGGTGGCTTTCTTTGTGACCTGCTTTAAATTTTGTCCAATATCCTTCAGACTGTCCTCCATTTAGATAATCCAACATCCTTCAGACTGTTTGTTTCAAATCTAGTCCAACATCCTTCAGACTGTTTGTTTCAAATCTAGTCCAACATCTTTAGATGTTCTGCTAGAGAACTCTTCCACATTCTAGAGGTATTATTAATTTCTAATTCAAACATCTCAAAACAATCAAATTAAATTGGTTTAGTAGCAGACATGAAGAAGAAAAAGCAAGAAACTTTTAAATGACAATGAATGATAATAGTAGTCATTAATTTAATCACATCTATCCTGTTCAACTGTACTGGGTTATAACTGAGATATATTATCATGGCATTTTAAAAACAAGCCATGGCCAAAACAGTAAGCAGGTAAGTGATTAACAGATGATAAAGATATCAACACAAAGTATGAACAGCAAAACCAATATAAAAATTTACAAGCCGTTTCAAATCTGCTCAGAAAACTAAACACCATTTATAATTTTAAAAAAAAATCAAAAGTAAAGAGCACTTTTAAAGATATTGGCGGATCACGGATTTGACTCCTGGCCAGTATTTTTATAGACTTATCAATACTCAATGGGTGATGTCATTTGACGCCTGGCCAGTATTTTTATAGACTTATCAATACTCAATGGGTGATGTCATTTGACGCCTGGCCAGTATTTTTATAGACTTATCAATACTCAATGGGTGATGTCATTTGACGCCTGGCCAGTATTTTTATAGACTTATCAATACTCAATGGGTGATGTCATTTGACGCCTGGCTAGTATTTTTATAGACTTATCAATACTCAATGGGTGATGTCATTTGACGCCTGGCCAGTATTTTTATAGACTTATCAATACTCAATGGGTGATGTCATTTGACGCCTGGCCAGTATTTTTTATAGACTTATCAATACTCAATGGGTGATGTCATTTGACGCCTGGCCAGTATTTTTATAGACTTATCAATACTCAATGGGTGATGTCATTTGACGCCTGGCCAGTATTTTTATAGACTTATCAATACTCAATGGGTGATGTCATTTGACGCCTGGCCAGTATTTTTATAGACTTATCAATACTCAATGGGTGATGTCATTTGACGCCTGGCCAGTATTTTTATAGACTTATCAATACTCAATGGGTGATGTCATTTGACGCCTGGCCAGTATTTTTATAGACTTATCAATACTCAATGGGTGATGTCAACTACATCATGCCAGCCACCTTTTCTTCTCATGACATTTACATGCTAAATGTTATGACTCACAAGTTAATAACCTGCAGTTATCACAATAAATAAAAAGACAAATATGATACGACTATCAGAAGAGATGAATGGAGGTAGTCAGAGGGGATCATAATTCAACAGAGGCTGCACAGAGAAAGGATCTCTGGTGACCATATGGATCATGCAGATACAAATGCAATGTGCTAAATCAAAGAGTTGCTTTCATTATACAGTTAATGTATAATGAGATCTATCATGGATATGCCAGGAAATTTGATTGGTGGCCATAATATAAACTACCAACATTATGCTGATGACACCATCTTGATAGCGACAAGTCAGAAAGATTGACAGGAATTAACGGATACAGTGTTTGTAGAAAGTGATAAAATGGGTCTCAAATTGAATAGGAAGACAGAAGTAATGATGATTTCCAAGAAATAAATAATGCCTAATTGTATAATAAAAGTCAAAGCTGTTATTTTAGGACAATCACATAAATTTAAGTATCTAGGCACATGGATAACATCCAATGGAAGATGTATCACAGAGATAAAGAACAGAATATGACAGACAAAAACTGTATTTTATCAAATAAAGAATATTTATTTTATGCAATAAATCCATGTCAATGAAGATCAGAAAAGAATTCTTGCCTGCTATTTAGAGCCAGTTTTAACATATGGCTATGAATCATGGACAATTAATAAACAGGCCGAACAATTTGTTGAGGCCTCAGAGATGTGGTTTTACAGAAGAATTCTTAGAATTCCTTGGACAGCTTAAAAGAGCAACCTAGATGTTTTGAAAACTGGAATATGTGACCACTGGAAAGATCTGTGAAAAGAGAGACAGAAGAAGACAGCACAAGAAGATTCATTACATGGAGGGGTGTCAACATACAAACTGATACACGCAGTTACAGATTGCAGAAAGTGGAGAGGCATGATCGACTATGCTAGTCAGCAAGGCACGTGATGATGAAATCAATGATTAGGTTCATGCCCAGTGACAAGACATCCAAGAAAAAGGCTCATGCTAGGCCCTGATAGGGGACATATGGTGCTCCAACAGGAGCCTACCATAACATTAGTCTTAAGTTGCTGATAGGAAAATAGTAAGATGAATTCAAAGCTGTTGTATGTTTAACTGAAAAAGATTTTTAAAATCTTATCTTGCTTCATGACAACTACCTGTATGGCTTCTGGGGCTCCACTTGGAAGTGGGGATAGATCCACTGCCCCGCCCCCCACAAGCATGTCATACATGACTAAATACATGACTAAATAGGGGCGTTTCCTTCTAAGCTGGAGTTCATTTGCCCAAGAGGAAAGAAATGAACAGTCTACACATAAATAAGCTAGATCTGTAAAAACGGATTACGAATCACAAGTTCTGGAACAAGACCAAAGGCCAGAAATGGGCAACCAACCAGGACTTTCCACCAGTCTACAGCCAGTGAACGCTAAGAAGAAGCTTCATGACATAAATATAACAGCAAACATTCTCATTATCCTCAGAAAACTTACCTAAAACGGTCAAAGTTGCCCTCTGGGTGATGTTGCTATAAACTGTCTGTGCTGTAAGTGAGCCTTCACATTCAAACATGCCTGCATCAGTGGCCTCCACTGTACTGATTGTCAACACACGATCATAATTACTGAGATCATATTTGCTGTTTTTTACTATTAACTGTTTCTGTCCAGAGTTTGTGATTTTGTACCATGTGATCTGAACATTTTCTAGTGGCCTGCGGAGATTAAAAAAAAAAGCATACAATAAGATAAGATGCTCACAGACAAGCAACAAATCTGGCAACACCAGTTTATTAATTTAAATATATCAGCACTGCAACTAAATCACCAAGTTCAAAATCCTGGTTTTGAGAAAACTGCATCTGAACACTGAGATGAGATTAAAATTGTGTAATTGCATGAGTAATACTTCATTTTGACTCAGCTGATATAAGAATTCACGTGTCTCTTTGGCATATTATAGACGTGGCCAAAAAACAGTCTAGAAAATTTACTTACTTAAAAATTGCAAAAAGGTGCACTGAGGTGACTTTGCTGTAGTGCCACTGGTGTCATAGATTTCATACATTCACAATTTTAAACATGATGTATCACTATAACTGATCTGATCTGAATGACGGCCCTATCACCAGGTGTTTATCACTCATTGTGTGGTCCTAATGGGGTTGAACGTCAGTCAGTCATCTCCAAGTGAAGCAAATGCCCTCACCAAGTCACCCATTGCACTGTAGACTCACTGACACAATTACTTATATGCAGTCTGCAGCTAAACTTGACTAAGGGATGAGACAGCCAGTCTCACTACAACCCTTCTTGGATGTCTCTTAATGCAGAGTGAGTTTACAGTATTATTAAGTGGCTTATTTCAAACAGAAGACACCTGTACTGTATGTTATAATATTCTTCTTCTTATTCTCAAGTATTTTGAGCCCTTGAGGTTCACTGCTGCAGATATTATCATCATCATTTGTCGTTGAGCATTGTGGAGAGGAACAGTTTGCAATAAATTGCTTCGTGGGCAGCAATGGCTATTGTCATTCCATGTCGATTTTGAAGCTCTTTAATGTCATCAATCCACTTTTTTCTAGGACATCCTCTTGCTCTCACTTCAGATCTTTTCAGCGCCTTTGTTGGCAGTTGTTCTGGATGCATTCTTCTAAATGACCTCAATTCACCTCTCTGGTTGGTCTTCTCTATCCAGCTGGTGACACCAAGTGTTTGTAGGTCTATTGGATATTATCTCTCCATCGTCATCTTGGTCTGCTTCATGGTCTACAACCATTCAGCCATTCTGTGCACAGCTTTTAATCTGTCATCTGACATTCTCTCAAAAAACCCCAGCCATTTCAGAAAATTAGCTCTCATGATGCCAGTGATCAATGATTTCAATATAGATGTATATTATCATTGAACATTATTTACTATACTACAAGATATATCAACTCCAAAGGACTTCCCCTAATCAATATATGATCCACTGCAATAAGCCTATGACAACAGAAAAAATGCTGGGGGTAGATGACACTAGAGAATAAGGAAAGGATTAAATAGTACATCACATGGAGAGGGTCGAGCATATGAGATGTTAAAATATTTCAGACAGAATAATGATGTCCCACATCACATTAAATATCCGCACATATAGACTACGTAATATAATTACTACCCTTCTTCGAAAGTACACTTAAACTTGAAAAAGACTTTTTCTTCTTCTTCTGCATACACCTTAAATGGGAAGTTGCCACACTGTGTTGTGGTTTACAGCTAGCCATATATATGTGTATGTATGTATATATATATATATATATATACACACACATCTGCATAATTTGCCCCAACAGATCTGATTTCAGTAAATCCTTAATTAGTCATCTTTTATGAGATGCTTCTTAAGAGGCAGTAGGTCTGGGGTTTTCCCTTCAAATGGGGCCCAGAACCCACTTGGGGAATGAAGAAAGATCAAATTTAATTTGTTTCTTTGTGTTTAATAAACTTGCTATGACACTTTTCACTTACTGCCCATTTACTGCACACTCCATTTTAACACTCTGTCCAGACTCAGCTGATGTATTTTTGGGCAAAACAACAAATTCTGGTGGTGCGGCCGTATTCTGACCTGACGGTTCTGAAATAATTAATACTTTGTATTATTTCTTAAAGTCAAAACAAAACCTTTGTAAACATTATTTAATATTTTAAAAAAAATAACATCAAATTCATTACAAAAACATTTTTCTGTGCTATCTCCACAATGACTGCCTTCACACGGCTAAAGAAAGTAAACATTATATACAACAATGAGAGGGAGACAAAGTTTTTTTAGTCGTGTGATGAGAAAAGGAGCACTGGAAAATATTGTACTGGTAGAAGAGGCAGAGGCAGACCAAGAGAAACGATGGTGGATGGCTTAAGACAGTGGCATGGAGGAATATCATCAGTGGAATAGATCCAGAACACCTATGCCAGCTGGCAAGGCACTTGATGTTGATATCCACAACGAAGGTTACCCCACTCCTTTTTTGGGGGTGAGGTCTTGATCTCTGTCATGGTGCGACCCTCATATGATAGACCTAAAATCATGAGAACAGTTTTTCGTAAATAAACCCTCCACCTAGGAAACTGCCTGGTACCTGAGGTTCACGAAATTGTTATACGCCTTCACTAACCTCTAAGCCACAAAGATGCACAGAACTACTGCAGACTGAGTCTATTCTGAATTAATTAATCAATGTATTATTATTATATAACTGGTCCAGTCCAATGAATTCAAGCCTGAGGAGAAAGATGAAGCCCACACCAAACAGGCGCCAAGGTAGAATAACTCTGAAACAGATGACTGTCTTAGAGAATTTGGAATTAAATCATAACAAAGTGATGATGGCAGAAGATGAATCAATGTCATATATATGGTCCTGAAATGGTAATATCATGTGAATTCATTTCAGTGTTTATTTCTTTGTTATTATTTTCTTTTTTTATAATTCTCACAATACTTTTGCCTTGTTTCCTCGGCGACGAGCAGCTGGCTGAACAGTTTGAATGCTGGGCTCTTATGCGGGAGCCCTGGGTTTCCTATCCTTGGCAAGGTTGGGAATTTCTTCTGTCAGGGGCAAAAATAACATCCTTGACTGCTTTAGGGATGTGGCCCTAAATCCTAAGGCTCAAAGATACTTTCCAACACCACAAAAGAGGTATAATATAAACAGTAATTGGTATTTTTTTTTTTGAGGGGGGTGCAGTTTCCTCAGTACAGAATAGGCCATTGACCGTTTTGTATTAAGCCTCCATTGTCTCTTGTAGCTTAACTTGGCCCAGTGGAATAATTTATCTTTCTGTTCTGAAGATGCATATAGAGAGAATGGCAAATAATAGAGACAAAAACTGCAGACACTTTAGCAGAATTGGAGTAGACCAAGAAGATGGTGTCGAACAGTGATTCCCAAACTGTCCGCCGCGACGCCCCAGGGAGCCGCAAAATATTCCAAGATACATGAGTTTTTTTCTTTTCATCCATACAAACAGTCATACTTTCTTAGGTTAGGGCACGATGGAAAAATTTTAATTGAAAAAAGGCGCCGCGACTAAGAAATTTTGGGAAACACTGGTGTAGAGATAATCTACAGGCAGACATGCACACACTTAGAGTCACCAACCAGAAAGAAAAGGCTAATAAAAAGAGATGAATGGAGGTAGTGGATATATGCAGCAATGAAATAATCTCAAGGACTCAAAAGAAACAGAAGAAGAAGAAGTATAAGAAGAACGGGGAGAAGAAGAAGAAGTACTAAAGAAGTTTTCATGATTTGACTTTCAGCTAGCAATAATGGGCTTTTAATACTTTACAACCATTTACACTATGAAGTAAATGGTTCTAATTTTACTCAAGTCCCGCATTCCTTTATATGTAAAACATGTTTCAGAGAAACAGCTCATAGGGGCAATTGTTTATGACTTTTCAAAGGAAGAGAAAGGTGGGGAAACGTGAGTGAATATGAAAAATAACTACATATTTGACAAAAGATTATAATTATTTCAATAATGTGGGAGCAAACAAACATAGAAAATAAATTATACCTGCCCCATTCAGCATACAAAAATGCACCCAAAGATCTAATTAAGCACAAAATAATCATCTAATTGAAAACTTTAAATAAAATACAATACTAATGATATTTCAATGCAAGGTGTCAATAAATAATAGTAATCAACAGAGGACTGGCGGCATAAGTCAACACAAACTAGGGGATATACTTAGGATTAAATCAGAGCACTCATGAACTGAATGTTCCAATATGCAGGGAGGACAATCAGTCAACTGACCAACAACCACACCTATAGTTAGTAAAGTAGCAAACAGCCCTCAAAGGTTGATGTGGTCAACAAAGTAATGAACAAAAACAAAATATAATTTGATGATTTGATTTGATTCAAGAACCGACATCACAGCACTAGGGGCATTCCCATAAGCGCTCTGTTCCCCATCTTCAGCAACCAGTGAAGAGTTCTGATACTAATGGTGCCAGTACCATTCTGATTAAAGGTCTGTCTTGCCTTTCCTTTCCTCTGAGCCTCAAGCCTCTGCCAGAACCTTCCATCACTCCCCATTGCATCAATCTCACCACACATAGGTGACCCATCTGCTCCTCCGAACTGTACACGCTCTCCCACAAGGCACTAACGTCTGCATTATCATGCATCAGTATTCCACCAAGCTGTCCAGAGCCAGCCAGTCTGTCCGCCTGTTCATTTCCCAACACACCAGCATACCCTAGTGAAAAAATCCACACAATACTCCTCACCTGTGTCTTCCGCAGTGAAGCATGCCTGTCCTGATCTTCCTTAGCATACTTTCTGAGTCAGTTACAATCATGATGTGTGTGTGTGTGTGTCGAGTTCTCTAGCCAGCTGAAAGCCGCAGTGACCGCCTCTACCTCCATTCTTAAGCTGGATGTTGTGGTATCATATGCTAGGCTCTCCTGCACCAAATGTCGACCACTAACTTTTGCTAAAAAAAAACCCAAGCACTTCTTTTCTTGAATTAACTGCTGAATTTCCACCTCTGTGGCACCTGCTGGCCAGTCTCTGCATTCCTGGCTCAGTGTAATTATGACCCTACACAAGTCTGACTGTTCAGGTGGCACTTTGACCCACTCCTCTCCTCGCCTAATGTTCTCAAGGATGCATACCTGTCTGATTGTGTCTTCTGCCTGAGCCATCCATGACTTTCCTCTTATCAGCCGCTTACCCTTACTCCACCCAGAGCTTCGTGCAAAAGTTGGTCTGTGTCTGCAGCTACCCTGAGATATGACTTTGCCTGCAGCACCTTGTGCAACAGTCGGCAAACCAAGGATATATCGCATACACACCACTGGGGTGTCTCTGGTGCAACCCAGAATGACCCGCACTGCTGCATTTTGTATGCACTCTAGTTTGTCCATCTGACACTTTGAGATGGTAAGCATTCCCAGGCCATAATCAACCACTGACAGGATCAGGTGATATAATCTGAAAAGCATTCTCTGCTCTATGTCAATTGCAGCCATAGTTTTAAGTGCACCAAGTCCTTTTCAGCATCTTGTCACAACACTCTCCACATGGTCCTTAAATGACAGGCTCCTGTCAAATGTAATTCCCAGATACTTCAATTTGCTCTCTCTGTTGATGTTTCTACCAACTATCGTGTGACTTGGAACATTAGCGTCCAGTGAACACCACAAAACAGACGCCTTTTCCGGGTGGACGACAGCCCTCATTTCTGTACACCACTCAAGTCACTTTGTCTACTGACGCTTGTAGCTCCCAGGCTGTTTGTTCCCTCTCTTCCCCTGCCTATATGCAAGTATATCATCCGCAAATGTCAGTATCCTTTCAACTCCTGGTGCTTCTAGGTTTGCAATCTTGCTCGTATACACGTTAAAGAGCACAGGTGAGATGGCGGTTCCTGTAACAGTCCTGGGGCCCAAGTGCATGGTTCAGAGGTCCATGAGCCCAGTCAGAGAGCAACCCGACGTGAATACAGGACAGCTGCAGCCCAATTTACCAGCCATGGACTGAACTCCATCTCCTTCAGTGCAGTCATCAAGATGTCTTATCTAACTCTGTTATAAAGCATCCTCGAGATCCAGTCCTGCCGCCATAGTTTCCTGTCTGTTCTGGAACCCTTCATAGACCTCAAAAGCAAAAGTGGCCACATTTGCCCATGTGTCCTTTCCTGGCTTGTAGCTTCGCAGACCTCTTAGGAGAAGCTTCCCCCTTTCCAAACATTCTTGCAGCTTTACAGCAACTATCTTCTCCAAGACCTTCCCAAATGTGTTTTGTAATTTAATTTTATCTGTTACAGTACTTACAAATATGGGACCTTATCTACCATTGGAGAACATCATAACTGGTAAGATCAATGGTAAAAAAGGCAGAGGCAGACCAAGAGAAATGCTTGGTCGCCTGAAGCAATGGCATGGAGGAATATCATTTTTGGAATTGATTCAAAACACAGAGGACCGCGTGGACAGAAATCAGCACCTATGCTGCCAGGCAGGGTACATGATGATGATCCACCACGATAAATGCAAAACAATATGTTAACAACCACATGGAGTAATGAAATATGATCTTACCTGTCACATTAAGTATACAATTTTGACTGTAGTACTCAAGAAACTTTATTGATGTTGTATGTGTAAACTTGACCCTGAATCTAGACTGATTGAAGTTTAGTGGGATGTTGAAAAGTGCCAAGTCGTAATCCAATGTGATGTAATATTCACTGCTAGAGCCAATTTTCACATCATTCTTTACCCAATCCACACTGAAGGAACCTTTCACATTTAGGTATGATATTTCTGGCATGGGCAGAACAACAGCTTTCCCTGTCTGAACATTTACATTTGTGTCACTTACATTGGGAAAACTCCCAAGATCTGTAAAATAAGGAAAACAATTATCAAATCTTTAAAACCATTCAGGAAAAAATTAATAAAACAAATTAGTCATGCATGAAAAAATACTTGGCAAGAGAAGCGAAGAATGACAGAGAATAGTGTTTCTGCAAAATTTAAATAGCTGGACAATCAACTCATCCCTTTCCCTAATTCTTTTATGTGTTTTATAGGTCTCCTGCTATCTCAGCACTGTGAATAATCTATTTTGACTTTGTGAGTTTGACATTTAACCAAGGCAAAAACCACATGACCTACTCTTTATCTTCTTCTTCGTGCTCACTGGCTGTACAATCAGACAGAAAGTTCTGGTTAGTCGTCCACTTCTGGAATTTAGCCTTGTTTAAGAACTTGAATTTTGCATGCATATCTGTTTTACAGATTTGGTTTATTTGTGTGCAGACTGTTGGTTCCTTGCCTCTCAGATAGATGGGCTCCAACTTTAAAGGAACAGCCCTATATATTCACCTTTTACAACATGCTAGTTAGGGGTAGTGGGTCTATTTTTGTTCCCCCACCCCCTCCCCCAATAGGGCACCAGAACCCACAAAGGGATGCAACCCTTCATGATAGTTTCTTCCCTTCAGACTACTATCAAAGATAGATTCAAACCAAGCAGTTATGCATACCAGCATTAGAGAGAAAGTTGGAATAAGAGCGTGTCTGGATTATATTGACAAAGAGTGAAATGGCTCAGCCATCTAGTGAGAATGCAGCTAGGTCAAACTGCATATGAGACTTTTTACAGCAGACATCTGGGAGGAAGACCAAAAAAGAGATGGATAAATGGAGTATACCTGTAGAAAGAAAAACAAAACCATCACCCAAGCCACCCAAGAAGTGCAAGGCCTTCTCGGCTGTTTGGCTAAGACCAAAGTGCAGCGCACTGGGTCTGGCCAAGAGGTTCGGGATCGGTCATCACAAAGTCACAGGAAAAACCCAATCGGCAAAGCCATCTTAAAAAATATGCCGGGTGGTTTCCCCGTTCTGTCTGGAATACCGACTCAATATCCTTCGGGTAGTCGGGTGGCCAGACTGGGCATTTGGGAGACCAATACGGACACACAAAAAGTGCAAGACAAATACAGAAAACCATGACACTGGGCTACAAAATATGAATCAGTGAAATGACCAAGAAGAAGCAGAACCCATCAGGGTTATAACTAAGATATACAGAGTATTTTTTTTTCATTTCAAAAATGTATATTTATGTCTACCAATTATGTTTTGCTATGAAATATCACACAGCTTGTGTATTAGTTGTATAAGATTGTACAAGTATAGATTGTCACATTCAATATATTTTAAACGTACTTTCAAACAATGATAGCAATTATACAGTATAGTCTATCTCTAGGGATATTTAAAGTGATCAGGAATACCATTATTCAGCCTGAAGATAGATATATATTTTAATGTTAAAGTTTATCTAACTGGCTGATGCCTTTCCATCTTACCAGATGACAAAATTCAAGATAGGCATATCAGCCAGGTGCACCTGTGGAAAGGTGCAGCAGACAGCAGAGCATGTACTCCAGGACTTCACAGAATTTGACACATTAAGGCACACCTTTTGGCCAAAAAGAACAACAGTGGTACATAAACTCTATGGACCACTGAATCAACTAACAACGACAGTGAAATTTATACAAGAGACAAAACTGCTGATATAGACAACTTATTTGAGGCGAGCATAAGAAGAAGAAGATGACAATATAATACTGTGCCACGGGGAGGCCTAGCAATCACAGCCCATGGCAAGTGTCACCAGCAAGACCTGCCCTCGTTAAGAAAAGTCATCCACAATTTGAGCATGGCATTTCAGGACCATTGTGGTCATCATAGGTAATTAGTGTGTATCTTCTCAGATGCTCAACTCTCAATCTTTCTGCCATTCCCTGCCTGCTTTTCCCTCTCCAGGCAACAAATCAATGTATCTCTCTAAAATCATACAATACTTCTTTTAGTAATCAACCATGTATGATCAGACCATCTTTATGTAACAAGCTACTACACGAAACCTCATCAATATCAAGTGTCTTGCCAATCAAGCTTCTCCAGATCATGTGGCCTCCCAAAGCATGTATTAGTTTATAACCTTCTATCACCTTCCCACAAGAAACCAATCACACACAAAAACACCAAAGATACACTTCATACCTTTAACTGTTAACTTCAGTGGCAAGCTCCTTACTTTTCCAAAACTGTTTTCCACAGTAACTCTGTATGTTCCAGAATGTGATGCCTGTACACCATCCAGAATTCTGTAATATGGCAAGGTGTCATTTTGGACTACTGTGTCATTGTGTCTCCATGTGTACCGTAGTGGCATTGTCCCACTTGCCTCAATTGACAAATAGAGATTTGTTCCAGACTGAATAATTGTTGAACTTTGGGAGTAAATTTGTCTTGTGATCTCTGGTGGTGTAGCTGAAACAAAAGGAACACAATATTTGAACTAAATAACATCAGTGAACACTCATAAATACTGAAGGCTTATGTGAACTTCTTCTTCTTCTGCGTTTGACATCAGTCATGCTACACATTGAGTCCCGTCTGGGTAAAAAATAGGATTGTGCGTTTAAGGTCGCCACCGGTCCCCCATAGCTTCTCTTGCAATGTGGATCCCCTGGGCCAGATCCACAGTCTTTGCTGGGAGAGGTAAGGGCAGTACTGTAGTATGTGCTCAGGGGTCTGTCTTTCTGCTCCACAATCACAGGCAGCAGATTTTTTTATGCCTATCCTGTACAGGTGTGCTCGAAGACCACAGTATCCAGTCCAAAGTCTAAAAATTTATGTTTGTTCTTTCCTGTTGAGTTTGTTTATGCTGTCACTCTCTGGTCTGTAATCTCTATTCTGCTTTCTCCACTCCCACTTGAAAGACTGCTTTAGTTTATGTGAACTAAATAACACCAGTGCACAGTCTTACAGATACTGAGAAAAAAATATGAGCCAAATGACACCACCAAACAGTTTCACAAGTAGTGACAGCATATGTGATCCAGCCAATCTGTCTGCCAGTTCATTACCCACTACACTGGCACTATGAGAAAACTGAGATATGATTTTGGGTTTAAAAAAAATGGACAATTTTTTTTTTACAAAAATGAGTTTTCTTATTCCAGTCATAACCCAAAATAAGTGAATAGGGTATTATTGACTAAATTACCACTACTACTGCTGCTGGGCAATTTAAAAACAAAAACCGTCATGGTATGGGATACAATTTTCTTCTATTTTAAAGCCCCACCTCGGCTGTGGTTGGGGGCACTGATATAACCAAACCTATGAGTTGAACAGAGTTTCTGAGACTTTGCCCAAGTGATCCTCATCCGAATGGTGGCACGTTGTGTCACCGGGTGTTGCTCACTCGTAGTGTGGTCCTCATTGAACAACAACAGCTGCTGCTGGGGTTAATTTAGAACCAAAATACGTCACTACACAAACAGTCACATAAGTAAAAAAAAAGACTATAAGATAAGTTGCGTATCCTTTACAGGACGTTGCAGAACCAACCCCAGCAGCCCCTGGCTGTTGTGTGGTTTCTCTAGGCAAATTTACGTCCAGTAAAAAAGACTATACTGGAACTAAATGGAATCAATGAACATCAAATGGTTTGGGGCTACATTACGACCAAATGACATTTCAGGTTTAATCATTCTCCCATCTTATCACCACTGTCCAGCATGATTCTGAAACTCCAGCTCCATTTTTCTAGTTTCCACTTTCTGACCCCAATCCACAAACACACACATTTTATTTAAATGTTCCAGTCAAAAGCCAATAGCAAGATGGTACTAGCAGAATAAAGTAGACTATTCCAGGTTTTTAATGGGTAACAGATAGAACTAGTTTAATCTTTCAGCTGTGATTGGATCTTAGCAGCATAAACTAGTCTAATGTTCCAGTTCTGACTGGGATCTAGCAGAATGAACTAGTCCAATGTTCCAGTTCTAACTGGGATCTAGCAGAATAAACAAGTCTAATGTTTCAGTTGACTCGGATTTAGCAGATTTAAGTAATGGCTTAGGTTTAAGTTAGTCTCCCCTAAAAAAGTAGGTCACATTTTATTCACAAGTTTGTTGGGCTGGTCTACTTTCGTGCAGGTTATGGGTTGTGCCGCTCTATTGTTTGCTTTCTGGGTTGTCTTGCATTTTACATTTTTCTTCCTAGAAAGAAAATGCATGTGACACAGGTTGCAGCATTTTCTAGGAGGATTGTGTTAGACCCAGTTTGTCCATGTTTGTGGAGTGTTAAAATATACAACACGCGATATCAACGGCATTTCAGAACCCCTCCGTAACCTTGTGCCAAGGTGACAGGTTCAGAAACTACCCAACAGCTAGTGTGTATATGTGTGGTCCATTGGGAGACCAACGCTAAGTGTTACCAACTAATGTTCCAGTTTTAAATGGAGGATGTCACCATGCATGTATCTCTGGGCAAAAATTGTTCTCACTTTTACAAGACAAGTCACATCTCTTCATGTACCCTACACTTTCAAGTGCCAGTCAAAAAGGTTCTACAATCTTCTACAACTGAAGTCTCTGGAACAACTGCAAAGGACCTGTGTCTTCGCATCACTGACATTTAAATGTCAAGAGCAGACAACTCTGTAGCATTAGGATAAACAACGAAACCAAGAAAACTTGTCAGTATTGTCCTATCATTGTCCTTAGCGGTTGTAAATATCTGTTTGACTGTCTACTGACTGTTGCTTTCTTGCTTCTCAAGAAGATAGAATCTTACTTTGATGAGAGCACTGATCCTTTTGACCAGGCCTTCCGGTAAGGAACCTGTTTCTAAATAACTGCATAAAGGTTAAGTAGGTCTCATTAAATATCAGCCCTGTTTCTGGCGCATCACCGTGTGTGGCTCAGCACCTCTGCATCCCAACATCCTGTGCAAGGTAGAAGAACAATAAAGGGTCTCTGTGGTAAAATGTTTAAACCTTTTGTCAGGCACTCAAAAGTTGTGGATTCCTTTTAGGACTCTGTTCTTTGGTTAGTGAGTGCATGTGTTTTTGAGATGTTATGAGTACTTCTTTTTCTTTTATTCACCTGAAATAGGTTTTCTATATCAGCAATTGTGTCTTTTGTGTAAATTTTAGTCATTTTTAGTTCATTCAATAGTCCATAAAGTTACTATTCCACCGCTGTTCTTTCTGGCCAAAGGGCTTGCCTTAATGTCTCATATTCTGTGCAGTTCTGGAGTATGTGTTCTGCTGTCTGGGGCACATTTTCACATGTGCACATGGCTGGTGTGGGTCACAGACTAAGACATAAATAAAATCTATTATCCAAGAATTGTCGCTGGATAGCCACACCAAATGTTCTCCCGAAGACTTGCTTGATCGCCTCTCTAGAGAGGGACAATGTGTCACATTCAGACTAAGGACACAGTAGACGTTTAAGTTTTCCAGTGTCGAAAACATGAAGATGTGTTTCTACAGCTTGGTACAGAAAATGCTGAAACATATAATCCAACAATGTAAACTATGGTTCTAATATAGAAGCAACACATAGTGAGATCTGGACTACACAATAGCTTTCATAATGGCTACTGGCCTCCTGAAATAACTTTTCTGTCAGGAGGATTGAATAAGTCTGTCAAAGCTACAGAGCACCATTCCTTGAGTGAGCTTTCATGAGACAAACAGCTATTCAGTGGAGAAAGACTGAGTCTATGGGATAAATCTCAGTGCAACACAAGTCAATCCCATTGCCTTAAAATATCTTTCTTTAAAAGAAGTAGGTATCTAGTGAAATGTGTAATGGTAGGTATCTATTAACTGTGTAATGGTAGGTATCTGACTGTGTAATGGTAGGTATCTATTAGACTGTGTAATGGTAGGTATCTATTAAACTGTGTAATGGTAGGTATCTAGTGAACTGTGTAATGGTAGGTATCTATTGAACTGTGTAATGGTAGGTATCTAGTGAACTGTGTAATGGTAGGTATCTAGTGAACTGTGTAATGGTAGGTATCTATTAGACTGTGTAATGGTAGGTATCTAGTAGACTGTGTAATGGTAGGTATCTAGTAGGTATCTAGTGTGTGTAACTGTGTATCTAGTGAACTGTGTAATGGTAGGTATCTAGTGAACTGTGTAATGGTAGGTATCTGTGTAATGGTAGGTAGGTATCTAGTGAACTGTGTAATGGTAGGTATCTAGTGAACTGTGTAATGGTAGGTATCTAGTGAACTGTGTAATGGTAGGTATCTAGTGAACTGTGTAATGGTAGGTATCTAGTAAACTGTGTAATGGTAGGTATCTAGTGGACTGTGTAATGGTAGGTATCTAGTGGACTGTGTAATGGTAGGTATCTAGTGGACTGTGTAATGGTAGGTATCTAGTGGACTGTGTAATGGTAGGT